TTTTCTGCTTCTGGAGGGGCATACAAGTTGTTACGAGGTCAATGGAGAGCATTGATGCTATTGGACGCTATTGCTGGGCATTTTTTAATGACGCACATGATGGTCCGCCGGTTTAGAAAGACTATTTCAAACACAAGAAAAACTCATGATTCCTATGTTGTTTGGATTAATACTAGGTCTAATTATTGACAATTTGATTAATTATCTCCTTCTCAAGAGATACGAGATCCTATGCTATACAATATGAATAATGTTATTCTTTTTCTATTTAATTTCATGTTTAGTATTTTTCTTACACCGTAAATTAATTGACCCATCCAACATTAAAAGAAAATAAAAATGAATACTTATATAATCGTGCTGATGCATGTTGAAATCAAGATAAGAATGTAGTAATTGAATAAGAATATAACAAGCGTAAAAGATAGTTACTTCGAACATTGAAAATAACTACTCTCTATAATTGTATCATTTAGAGGCTAATAACTCCTCCAGAAGCATCAATGATCTTTATATTTCTCACCCAAGAAAAAAAGAGATCTAATCAAATAATCGAATATTATGGCATACCCATTGTACTCTCCATTAACCTACAATTTTCAATCTTGATTTGTCTTTTAGATCACTCATATATTGATTTATTATGCTATAAACCAAAAAACTATTTTGTAAGTTCAAATCTACTAGAATTACCTAGATACCAAGAGTCATGAATCATAATACGAATAAATAAATACTCCGTAAATAAACACATGATTCTTGCCAAAATTAACAATTATTAAACAAATAGTGGGAGCCAATTACAATTATTTAAAAATATAGCCCACAAATAAATACAATTATTTTTCATTCACTCGATCATTTTTTAAAGCTTATTTACACTTTAGCCCTTGAGAAAATTAACAAAATTAACAAAAACGTGTTAAGGAAATGTCACGGAAACCTAGCCTCAACGCCAAGTTGCCAACCACTACAGCGTTATAACTATAAATTACTCCGTCGCCTCTTTACGCAGTCATTCATTCTTTCTTTCTCTCTCTCTATCTCTCCTGTTTTATGGGCTCCGACGTCCGGGAAGTTTTCCTCTAACATCGGCTTTTTTTTTTTTTCTTTATTTTGTTCGAGAAAATATTCCCGGAGCTCCGGCGACCATGGGGATACTGGATACCGGCGTTAGAATCGCGGCGAGGTTCAACTCCCATTGCCCGCAGACGTCGAGGATGTACTACCACCCTCCTCCGCCTAAGCACGAGGAGGAGCGCCTCCACGACGACCACCACCACCACTACAACATGTTTGGCCTCAACCACCACCACCACCGCTTCGAGGGAGTTGCGTGCAACAGCCACGCCGCCGGGGATGCGTCCGCAGCTCCGGTGGCGGCGTTCCCCAAGAGTGGCGCCGCCGGGATTGACTCTGCTGATTTCATTCTTTATACCGTTGTTTAATGACATTTCGTTCTCCCGGAGTCCCGGCCGGAGACATTTAAACTGCTGACAATATTGTCTTTTTTTTTATCCTTAATTTTGCGTCGTCCGATCATTCAAAAATTTTATCAATATATTCTTCTTTTGAGTCAATATTTATTTTCATTCTTTTATTTTTGTAACGAGTAAAATTGGTGGCAATTCTTTTGTTTTGTAACGAGATAAATTTGTAATCACTACTTAATTTTATATGAAAAATGATACAGAACTAACTAATTGAAAAAGTGTTTGGCAAATATCGAATTATTCATTTGTTCAAGTCACCATTTTTGAGACTTCATTCTTTATTTTGATCTAATGACATAAATGATATTTTTGATATATATTTACTATCAAATTTATTAATTAAAAAAAACTGAATATATCAATATTATTATTCAATTTTAATATCAAATTTCAAAAATATTCTCTAAATTTTGGATATTTTTATTTTTATGTAATATGGATCCATATTCAATGCATTATAAAGTTTACCAGTTCATAAGTAGGTGTACTTAAGGCAATAAAGGGTCCACGCGGCGCGCCTTGCACCGACAGCTTCACCTATGCCAGTCTGGCAAATGTTAATTGGCAGGATTTGCAGGAATTCGGGAACCTATTGGTCTTCAATCTCAGCCTTCCATTCATTCACATGAGAATTTATCTTATTTTAGGTAACCCTAATGACTTGGTGGCACCAATACATTTTACTATGTGAACTTTCAAAAGTTTAAGTGATGGAGTAAAAATAGGTAGTCGAAGTAACATTTCCGAGCATCAATATAATAACTTTTGAGGTTTCAAATCTTCTTTCCGTTTGAAATTACTTATTTGTCTTCTCAATTTGATTTGGTAATTATAAATAGTTTAGATTTGATTTATTTTATTGTAATCATTCGCTTAGAATGAAATGCATCTTTAGATACTGATTACATACTTCTACACAATAAAACACATTTTTTTAAATATTTTTTTTGTGTTGATCAATATACGTATTTTTTGTACTAATATAATCAATATTAAGAACCCAATACAAATCACAAAGTGACCTAATACAAATTACCACAAGTGACAATCAACTCCTTAAAAAAGAATATTGTGCACAATATTCTTAGCATTGTTGAAGAGACCACTTCCTAACTTTAAAAACATTCAACCACACGCCAACAAACTAACAACAATCACTAAAAATCTAAAATATCTTAACAAACTTATTTCCTAACTTTAAAAAATTGAACCACAAACAAACAATCACTAGAATATCTTAACAAAGTTAATAATTTAAGAATGATGCTACATTTTTCTTATTTGATTTACAGGGGTTGAATTTGAAATATTGTCATATATTTCTTCTTTTATTTCACCTTCTTATTTGACTATATATAATTTTTTAGTATACTGAATCCGTTACAATGTAGTATCTGTTCATAGCTATTTTCTCAACTTACTGAAGCACAAAGAGTGTTGTTTCCACTAAGGCTCAAACTCATGACTTCTCATTTGACAGAGCTACTAGACCATAATGTCATTGACATTTGACCATATACAATTAGTTCTTTTTTTATTTGATAATTTTAAAAAAAAAATTGATGAATATATTTAGTCTTCTTTAATTCTGGGATGATAAATAAGTTATTACTAAGTATATTCGAATATCGCATATTTATTCCACCCAAAGTTGTTGACTTTAGCACTTATTAAAGGTTTTGTTGACTATGATAAAGTTATACTAAATTGTTCTTAATTTTTTGTGGAAATGGTTGCATGATGTCTTTTCGTAATTAGACTTTTTTCAAAGTGGCCCATGTAATTTATTTTGTTTCCTACTTTTTGAATAGACGGAACTAGGAAAATTAAAAAATAAATAAAATTAAGTTACAAATAATTCAGACCTAATGAAACATGACCGACCTACTCTCGAGGCCATTTGCTCCACACTAGGGTGTGCACAATTGCACAAATGGAAGAAGATTAAGTCAATCTATCAATAAATTTTAAATAATCATTTTAATCAAAATATTTCAACTTGATTAACGGTTAATGATTTTTAAAAATTTTGATTAATAGTTAATTCGGTTTAAAATTTTCACCATACACTTCAAATTTTTCTGAATCAATTATCTAGTTGCTCCTCTTCACCCAAAAGGGTTGAATCCTCATCCCCAATCTAAGGGCATTTAGGATAATGTAAATCACAGTGAGTCAATGACTCAACAGATAAGGTCAAATGTCGATGCCCATAAGAGATCTATCTACTTTAAACATAATAGCTACACTGCTGTTGATATTTGAAATTGGTCTCTTCTTCCAAATAATATCTACTGAACTAGTGAGCTAAGCTCGTGCGGGTATCTAATTGCTCCAATATTAACGAAACGGCGTCCCTGGAACTTGTCCCCTACATGATCTTTGTAATCGTAACTAGTTAGTGACTTTTTAGCTCCAACATTAAAAAATAAAAAAAAAGAAAGGAATCATTTTAAAAGGCACAATATAAAGAATAATAAAGATTGTAATTGAGAGGACGCCGACCAGTATTGGTTTGCGATAACGTAAGATTCATGGCAGAAATATAATAATGTCACGGGAAGCCGGAATAATGCTTAGAGGACAGCCCTTATTATTATTATCTTTAATATCTTTTCGATGACGAAAAAACTCATAATCTTAATTTGCAAATTATATTATAAAGATTATATATAACAAATTTGATTAAGAGAGTGTTGATAATACTTTATGCAACGAACTTGACTAAGATATTGACAAAACTCTGTACAACAAACTCAATTGAATGAGTATTGACAATAATTAAATTTTGTGACATTTATATACGAGATTTATACTTGACCATATAGATGTTGTCTTTAATATTTTAATCTGACAAGAAAATAGATCCCAAGATCTTGAATTTGAATAGCCAACTTCTCACCGCATCAATATAGGTGACCCATCAAGCGAAGGAATTTTTTTTTTCATTTTTTTTTTTTTTGAAAGAGAAGGAAGGTTCTTATAAAGTCAACTTAACAATTTAGACCAAAAGTATTAGGACTGAAACAAAGTTCTGCATTTGGTCCAGTAACTAAAATTGTAATTGATGGAATAATTGGCCTTACCCACTTATGTTGGGCTTGATTCAATTCATTTCAAAAGACCCAAATCAAATCAAATAAATCTCTAAATTTTATCTGAAAAGTCAATTAATCCCCTAAACTTTATAAAAGTACAATTACACTCTTTAACATGCTATATTGAGACAATAAAGTCAAAAAAACCGGAAACAATGAAGTCCAAAAATCAATAAATGACCTGCTATTACAGGTCATTAGAGTTCCGACATCAATTTTATCAATCTCTGGCGATAATCCGACGACAATCAAACCATCGCCAGTCGCTGTCTACCAAAGAAGCCGACCAGTTAGTCGCCTTATCCGACGTAAAGTGACTAACTGATTGCCTTCCAGTATAAGTATTACATTTAATTTTGACCGACCCGTCTCTCACACAAGTTTTTGCCAATATGAAAACATTCTTAGAAAAAAAAAGCATGACAGCGAATAATGCTGATTTCTGGGCTGTACCACATTAAAAATCTAATCTTTAGACAACACAATGTTCACAATCTTAGCCACAATCAACGGCGGAAGAACTAATTCTAGGTAGTACACTGAAGACCACATCATAATGTTCCCAGGGCCGCAACAGAGATAAAGCAGGAAGTAAATATCACTTGTTAAAAACTGGAGTTGAACCACAATCAAAACAGACAAGCAACTTAAGCCAGCTAGGAATCCAGATATGGGTTCTTGTAGATTTCCCGCAACTATGCCCGCCTTGCTTCCACATTACTCACTGGCCGAGATGGGCTTGCGTACCACGAAGAAGTACATTGGCGTGAAGATCCCTTTCCTGCAATCCACCGAGATATGCAAAATTGTATGACATCACTCGTGAAGTTTAGAGTTAACGAAATGGAAGTTCATATGGAAAAACCAATCCGGCCAGCACTTTGCCCCTTAATTGGGCCGGGCCAGTGCGAATGGAGATTAGTCTGAGTATGGTACGGGTTTAAAGGTGTCTCCTACAGTTAAGGTCTACCCAGGACACCTAATGGTCTGACCAGAAAAAAAAAAAAACAAAAAAACAAAATGGCAGTTTGTTTATCGTTTTCATTCTCCTGTGTGACCAAAACTTTTCAACTATAAATGGCCTTTTGGGGTTTTCTTTCGAGCAATGCAGGTTTGGGTAATTTATAACGGAACAAAGTTGAAGATTGCTTACTTTCCACCGGCAACAAGTCCTTCGGCTGCTTTCTCTAAGAAATCTTGAACCCTTTGGCTTCCTTTGGGAGCAATTCCCACGTATTCGAGTGCCTTGACCTAGACAAAGAGCGTTAAAAAGTCAATAATTTCATTTTGGCGCAAATGCAAATCTTTTCTGATGGATCTTATCGTATTACCAAATTTCGGGTCACGAGACGCCCAACAGCTGTTAGACGGAAGCTACTGAGTGAGAAGTGACTTGTATCCAACGGCAAATACCAAGGGATAGGCGAATCCTCTGCAAGATCCTTCTCCCAAACAACCTACATAGAATCATAGATAGATAGATAGATAGATCCCGGTTATAACAACTCCGAAACTAGATAGCAGAATTTATAGAATAAAAATTTTAGCACTCACTTCAAATCCCGCTTTCTTGGCAGCTTCAAGGCATTGCGTAGTCAGCCTTATTTCAGGGAGGCCATTACCAAGCTCGATTTCTGACTGGTAAATCATTAAAAAGTTGTGTGTAACTAGAAATCCATAACCCGAATACAAATCTATAGCAACATATTACTGATCTCGTGATACATAAATACCTTGATTTTCTTGTGCTCTAAGCTGTCGGGATTGTAGGAATCAGTCATGCACCATTCATAAGCAGCAAAACACTGACCGGGCTTGAGTACTCTATATACCTCCTTGTAGCATCCAACCTTAGTATAATGTAAGGCAAGTTAAAATTAGAGCACCGTAACAAGACTAGTACACTATATTTTTTATTTTTTATTTTGTCAGACCAAAAGGTGTCCTGAGCAGGCCCTAACTGTAAGCATGTACCATACTCAAACTAATCCCTGTTCGCACCGGGCCGGCCCAATTAAGGGCAAAGTGCTGACCAGATTGGTTTAAACACTAATCCCAAGTAAACACGAAATTCAGGAATGGGTGGAAATTATGTTGAAAGAGGATAGTAGAGTCACATACCGAATCGGGTGCGTGGCAAGTAGCTTCAATCGCATATATAGCATCAAAGTTATTGTCGGGGAACGGCATTTTCATGAAGTCTGCCTGCATTGTCACCGAGAACCAATCAACCACTTTGGAAGTCATTAACAGATTAACCGATACGATTAATTACGTTACTAACCTTCACAAAGCCACAACTTTGCTCTAATCCCACTGCACGGTTCAACACCTATAGAGTACCAGCGTCAGTGGGCAATGAATGAAACATCGAGACAAGAAATCAGTTTTGGGTCCCGCCACTACAACTCTACAAGTCAGATACTACAAGATTAGGCGAAAATATGTACTATATAATTACCTTTCCTCTAGCTATCTGATATTCGTTGTTGTTGAGGCCCGTGACCTTTGTAAGACTGCAAGGTAACAACAACATAAAAATGAGACTCTAGAAGCCAAATCATCCCTGAAAATCCTCGTTAAAGAACCACATCGAAAACAAAGACCAAAAAAAATATGAATTCAGCAATCCTCATTCACCTGAAACGTGCGATTTCTCTTAATGGCCCACCAATCCCACACCCTACGTCCAAGACCTATAGTTATAGAATAATATTGACAGTGTCACTATGTTAGAGAAATTAATACTTAGAAAAAATAAAAACGTATTGCACTTTCTAATTGATAATATCAGTACTACCGTCTGTCCAGGTTTCAAGTTTAAATGTAATGCAAGGAAGTGTTCGTGGCGCTTAATACTCTCTTGAAGGGATTCTCCTTTCCATCTGAAGGAAAAGAGCACAAAGCAACGTATTTAGTGAATCACACATACTAGAAGTTTACGAAATTCATATATACAAAAAGATACGGATCAATATTATCATTGACGAGACAGTAAGAGAAAACATATGATAGAAAACGATACCCACCTTGGTGCAAAGTGGAAACATTCTCCCCAGCCATATTCATAGAAACTAGTGACAAGATCATAGTATTTATTGACCTGAAGAACAGAAAAAACATCATATACATATGTCAAATTAACATTCCAATTCCCATTAATATCAAATTCCCATTAATATCAAATTCAATCTAAATTCACTAACTTAAGTGAACTTCCAAAAGCATGAAATACACTTCTGAGGAGAGGTTCAAAGCTGGTATGAATCTAATCCCAATCAGGGCTATAAAGTTTTAATCTTTTTCGAAGAATTTACGATCTAACATCACTCTAAAGTCTAAACACAGCAGAATCAACAGAATCTTGGAACCAATTGTCTCACCATATCACTGTAATTACTCTTTCTCTCCTCCTCTTCGCCTCCATAGTAACCATGGTACTTCTCATACCTGATTGATTCAACCAAACCAATCACAAATCAAAACCAATCATCAACACTGAAGAACACATTCCCGACAATCATAAACAGTAACAACAATAAATGTCTGTCTGACAGCATGCAATTGTATGGCAACACAAAATCCACAAATGTTTACTGCCATACTGGTATATATAACCACGAGAAAGATGGAAACAGATGATGAGAGAATGAAGGGGAAATACTTGTCAACAGAAGACTGAACCTCGGCCTTGTCGATCTTACCGCCAACCCCAGATGCGAGATCAAAGACTCCAGCTTTCGACATCTCTCCTAAACCCAGCAGCTTCTGAGATTTAACAATGCAAGAAAAACATCAAAATTCACACAAAAATTAAAAGATCGGCACACGAACGATGCAGAAAATCAGATCAGATTCTGCAAAGCAACAAAAAAAAGTCGCAATTTTTCCAGAAAAATAGCACAATGCCGCTTACATACTGAAAGGCAGAGAGGATCTAGAGAAACCCTTTGAGAATACGAGAGAGAGAAGAGATCAGACTAAGAGTGTGAGAGACTAAAATGAAGGGAAAAACAACTAAACATACAAAGAAGGCGGCAGAGAGCTCAGAGAATAAGTGGAGGGGAGAGTGGCGAAGGGAATATAGGGAGAGTTGCCACGTGACAAGTACGTGCGCCAGCTCTCGTACGGCCCCACTGCCCGAGTGTCTTTGCACAGTTTGGACTGTGTTCGGGGCTTGAGCCGCTGGTCGCCGTCGGATACGGTCTGTTGTGGGTCCCATCCTACGTGTCCACGTGTGGTGGCCCAACCAATCATCTCCGTCGATCTGGTCCATGATGCCATGGTGTATATTTTTAGAATTTTAAAGTAATTGCCGTATTTGTTTGGTTTGGTATTGGTGGTTAGTTTGATTCAATCATTTTTGTAATATTAGTCGATCATTCGTACATTGCGTAATAATATAAATATTCAATATATCAAGAAAAATATTATCCTCAGGACCTAATTAGAGTTTGACATCATAATCAGATCCAATCGAGTTAATACCGTTAGGAGCCATCCGAATATAATGATTTTGTCACGTTTAATTCTAAAATTTTAAATGGACCATCCGTGGTCTTTGGACTTTCAAATTATTACCATCTGTGGTCCAAGTTAACCACTCATGATTTTTTTGGGAGGATCATTGCTAGTTAAATTTTGAATGTTGAAGAATCAGTTAACATGGACAACGAATTGTAAAAATTTAAAAGTCAAAAGACCATGGTTGGTCAATTTAAAAACTTAGGATTAAATGTAAAAAAAAAAAACCACTATGCTCAGAGGAACCATATGACATTAACTCGATTCAATCATTCAAGTTTAATTGAAATTATGGTCAGATTTAATCATTTATGTTTAATTTTCATCTTTAATCCACAAGATAGTTAAAGACCACTATGAATATGTGATGTGTTCAACTAAGACTCTAAGAGAGTGTTGGTAATAACCGAAATTGTGACTTTGTTGTACAAAATCATACTTTACATAATCATACGGTAAAATATCGTTTTGAATATAAAAGTTTCAATGTACCAATTGATATGAGAGATTGATTGACAATAACATGTGATAATTGTACAATGAAAATACTATACTATATATTTATTTATTTTAAAATTTACTCATAATTTTGACTCTCTATTCTCAAACTTTTAATGTAGACAAATTTACTTAGACTCACATGCACGATAAAATTATTCTATCCATACTTCCCACTCCAAAGAGTATAATGAATGAAGTATAATTTGAGAGTCCACATTGTAGAATCTATTATATAATTTTGACATTCAAAATTAATATTTGATTGTTTTTATTTGTGATGTGCTAGTGACATTGTGTAATTCATGATAATTTTTATTTTTAATATCTGTGACCATGCATGGTGTATTATTTAACATGGTAAACTAATATTTTCACTATATATAGGGAAGGGAAAGAGTTTCAAATCACCTTCAATGTACTAGCTAATTGATGTGAGTGGTTGATGCACAATAATATAATTTCATTTATTTTTTATTTCTACATATTACAACAAAATATATATATATATATATATATATATATATATATATATATATATATATATTGAAACAATATACAACAACACACATATATATAGATACATACATTTGTAAGGGAAAGCAATAACGATAAACAGACAAACAACTTAAGCCAGGTAGGAATATCTAGATATGGGTTCTTGTAGATTTTCCGCAACTACTCACTGGCTGAGATGGGCTTGCGTACCACCAAGACGTACATTGGCGTGGAGATGCCTTTCCTGCATGCAATCACTCGTAAATTGAAGTTTACACTTAAAAAATGGAAGCTAAGTTTGTTTAATTTATCGGTTTTCATTCTCTTGCGTGACCAAAACTTTCAACTAGCAATGGCCTTTTGGGGTTTTTCTTACGAGCAATATAATGCAGATTTGCGTAAATTATAAACAGAACAAAGTTGAAGATTGCTTACTTTCCACCGGCAACAAGTCCGTCTGCTGCTTTCTCTAAGAAATCGTGAACCCTTTGGCTTCCTTTGGGAGCAATTCCCACGAATTCGAGTGCCTTGACCTAGATAAATTAAAGAGCGTTTAAAAGTAGTGAATAATTTATTTCATTTTAGCGCAAATGCAAATCTTTTATGATGCAGTTTCCTAATGGTTTTTATTATATATATATATATATTACCAAATTTCGGGTCACAAGACGCCTAACCGCTGTTAGACGGAAGCTACTTGTATCGAACGACGAATACCAAGGGATAGGTGAATCCTCTGCAAGATCCTTCTCCCAAACAACCTACATAGATAGATAGATACATCCCAATCCCGGTTATAACAACTCTGAAACGAGATATATAGCAGAATAAAAATTTAGCACTCACTTCAAATCCCGCTTTCTTGGCAGCTTCAAGGCATTGTGTAGTCAGCCTTATTTCAGTGAGGCCACTACCAAGCTCGATTTCTGACTGGTGATCATTAAAAAGTTGTGTATGTGTAACTAGAAATCCATAACCCGAATATAATGCAAATCTATAGCAACATATTACTGATCTCGTGATGCATAAATACCTTGATTTTCTTGTGCTCTGAGCTGTCGGGATTATAGGAATCAGTCATGCACCATTCATCAGTAGCAAAACACTGACCAGGTTTGAGTACTCTATATATCTCCTTGTAGCATGCAACCTTAGTATAATGTAATGCAACGCACATTAAGAAGGAAATTCACGCACCTTAAGTTTCAACAACTACTTACATTAAACACAAACTCACGCACTTTAAACATAAAATTCACCCACAATAAGTTTCAACAACTACTCACATTAAGTACACAACTCACGCACCTTAAGCACAAGACTCATGGACCTTAAGCACAAGACTCACGCACCTTAAGCACAAGACTCACACACCTATCACCGCACAACCGCATGAGAACTTAATTATATAATATATATATATGTGTGTGTGTGTGTGTGTGTGTGTGTGTGTGTGTGTTAAAAGGGGGCCAAAAATTGGATTCTGCTTTATTATAGTAGAAGATATATATATATATATGTTAAAAGAGGATAGTAGAGTGACATACTATATCGGGTGCATGGCAAGTAGCTTCGATCGCATATACAGCATCAAAGCTATTGTCTGGGAATGGCATTTTCATGAAGTCTGCCTGCATTAATTGTCACCAATTCAAGAACCAATCAACCAACCACTTTGGAAGTCATTAACCGATATGATTAATTGCATTACTAACCTTCACAAACCCACAACTTTGCTCTAATCCTGCTGCACGGTTCAACTCCTATAGAGTACCACACAAGCCAGAAATCAGTTTTGGGTCCCGCCACTACAACTCTACAAGCTAAGTAGATTAGACCAAAATATGTACTATATATATAATTATTACCTTTCCTCTAGTTATTTGATATTCGTTGTTGTTGAGGCCCGTGATCTTTGTACGACTGCAAGGTAACAACATAAACATGAGAGTATAGAAGCCAGCCAGATCATTCCTGAAAATAGGGGGTTAGCGAATAGAGCTTTCGGCAAACTACTCGTGTTCGTGTTCGGTAAGCGTTCGTTTATGTTCGTTTGTTAAGGTAAACGAACCATTAACAAACAAATTATAGAGCTCGGTTAATAAATGAACAGAGCTTGAACAGTTGTATGCTCGTTTGCTAAGAGATCGTGAACAAGCTCGTTTGTGTTCGTTTAATAATGTTCGTGAACAGGCTCGTTTGTGTTCGTTTAATAATGTCCATGAACAAGCTCGTTTGTGTTCGTTTAATAATGTTCGTGAACAAGCTCGTTTAGTGTTCGTTTAATAATGTTCATGAACATGTTCACAAACATATATATACATAGATTATATTGTGATCATGAACGTTGAATATTTCTTGAACGTAGATTTTATATTATTTGTTGTTCACGAACGAATTGTGATCATGAACATGTGCAGATGTTTGGTTATTAAAGGTTCACGAACTTGTTCATGAACGTAAACCAACATGTTCGTGAACGTGCTTGTTAACGAACATATTTGTAAACGTGTTTGTTAACGTTATGTTCGCGAACATTAACAAACATGTTCGTTAACGTAAACGAACACGTTCGTGAACGTGTTCGCGAACGTTAACGAACACTAATGAACGCTTAACAAACGAACACGAACAGGATTTTCAAAAACCTTAACGAACGAACACAAACACTCTAAAATTCTTAACAAACGAACACGAACAACCTCCGTTCGTTTATGTTCGGTTCGTTAACAGCCCTACCTGAAAATTCTCAATAAAGAACCACATCCAAAACAAAGAACAAAAAAAAAAAAAGTAATAATAAATGTGCAAAACAAGATGAATTCAGCAATCACCTGAAACGTGCAATTTCTCTTAATGGCCCACCAATCCCACATCCTACGTCCAAGACCTATAGTTATAGAATAATGATATTGACAGTGTCACTATGTTAGCCAAATTAATATTTAAATTGGATTCAGTCAAGCCTCGTTAACCGAATAAGATAGACACATAAAATAGGACAGAGATAATAATATTAGTACTACCGTCTGTCCAGGTTTCAAGTTTAAATGTAATGCAATGAAGTGTTCGTGGCGCTTCAAACTCTCTTGAAGGGATTCTCCTTTCCATCTGAAGGAAAAAGAGCACAAAGCAACGTATTAGTGAATCCCCACATATTGGAAGTTTACGAAATTCATATATATATATATATATATATATATATAATATAAAATAGGTTCAGGTGCAGTGGACAGCTCGAGGTGTGGTTGTGCTGTTAAAACAGAGCCATTGATTCTACTTAAACTAACTTTCAAGATTATCAAAATTTATTAAAAAAAAAAAACAAACGAACAAACGCGGTGGCAATTTGGTAATTTTGCATATAGGTCAAAATTAAGGTGAGTGATTTTGTTATTAAAGTGCGTGACTTTTGTATATAAGATACGTGAGTTTTGTGCTCAACGTGCGTGAGTTTGTGTTTAATGTGAGTAGTTGTTAAAATTTAAAGTGCGTGAGATTTGTTTTAAGGTGCGTGAGATATGTTCATAAAGTGCGTGGGGTTTAATTTGTTCTTAATGTGCGTGATGTTTGTGTTTAATGTGACACTGCTGGAAATCTCGCTGTTTCCGTCCAACATTTCCGTCCAACCGTAAGTTGGTCGGTGTTTTAATAAAAATTTCAATTTTCTATGGCTAAAGATGGATGGATAAAAAGTTAGTCAGACTTTCCATCCAACGGGCGAGTGTTGGACTGAATTTTCGTCCAACGGGCGAGTGTTGGACTGAATTTCCGTCCAACCTGTGATGTTGGTTGGTAAATCTGAATTGACCGATAGGTAGAAATTGAAAATAGGTATTTTAATTTCCGTCCAACAACAATGTTGGACGGAAATTTAAATATTTTAGCTAAAAATAAAGGAATACTGGAGTAGTGGACACTAAATAGAGAGCGGGAATATAACTTTGGATGGGAAAAAGAAAAATTTGGCAAAAGAGAACTTAGCAAAAATTCCCGCTTCCATCGTCTCTGTTGTCTCCAGCAAAATTAGGGCTTCTTCCATTGTCTCCGCCTGCCTTCGCCATTCACTCCATTTCTGACGACGCCTTTTCGCCCTGCCTTCTCCATTTTCGCTGCCCTTCCTCCGCTCACGACGACAGCCGACAGCGCCTGAGACCATTCCGACGACACCGCCCCCTCGCCATTCACTCCATTTACGAAGACGCCTGAGACCACAGCCGACCGTCATTTCCTCTCCATTTCCGCCGCCATCCTTCCTCCGTCGGAGCTCCCTCACTCGCCACCGCCACGGCCCCGGAGCTGCCGATTCCTCTCCGCGACCTGTAAGTCTATTTATTTATTTTATATTTAATTTGTTTCAAATTTTTTAATTTCTTTCAGATTTCAGATATTAGTCTCTAGCCGATTCCTCCACGCAACGTCTGGTGCAATGTGGATTGTCCGATGGTAGTTTTGATTAGGAGAGGTATCTTATTGTATGCCTTTGTCAATTTGAGTAGTCTGAATTATTATCTAATCTATGTTGGATGTCAATTTCAACTTCAATTCTAGCCAATTGAACTTGAGTAGTCTGAATTATTATAACTAAAGCAGTGTTTTATGTTTTATGCATAAATAAACATAAAACATAGTAGAACTGTGTGTGTGAACAAAATAGTAACTAAAGCAGCAATTGTGCATTTTGTTTTTGCTGCATATATTCAAGATATCACACTCCTTGTAGGTAACCTAGACTGCTAGGTGGTGCAGTATGTATATATAAAATGTAGGAAGATTATAATTTTTTAGTTAGTGATTGATTGGGATATCAGAACCATGTGGTGTTGTTGGTAGGTGAGAACAATTAACTTTCTTTCTTCTCAACATATTTAGATTTGAGAAGTCCCAGGATGCAGTGTGTTACTTCTTTTAATCATTCAAATTCACAGATTTTTATTTTCTTTTACTTCAATTCAAAAATTGAAATTTTGAGATAGCATTATGGATACTTTTAAGTGTGTTAAACTTAGCAGTTTAAAAAAGGAAAGTATAGAGTATAAAGTTCTGTTCGAAGCATGTCTTGTAAACTACCACTCTCCTCCATTTTGCATGAGCTTTATCTTACAAGGCAGTGATTAGGCTGTTCCCGTATACATGTTTAGTTGCATTAGAATATTGTGCACTAGTGTGTCTTGACAAAATTTACTAGCTTTTTGAATTCATATTTTTAATGCTTTGTTACCTGTTTCATCTAGCCGCTATAGAAATCCTGATTTATGTCTAAACTTTTCTTATCAATTATCAGCAATGTTGGTTTGCAAAATGTATGTTTCGTGAAGCAGCTGCTATAAAGATCCAAAAGAGCTTCCGATGTTTCGTTGCTTGCAAATCATACTCAACATTACGGCATTCTGCAATTACACTGCAAACAGGCATGGGAACAATGTTTGCTTCTTTGAACTTTACTTTCATTGGCGATCCAATGATGATCAATTTTTCTTGTTATCAATTTTTGTTTTGGCCAAGCCTATGATTATGGATTGTGAACAATCCACTCCAACTTACTTTATGGATTATCATTTGACAGTCGTGTTTCTTGCTCAGGCACTGAGATTCATTGAGACAGCAAGAGCTAGGATTGAGAAAGCTATGGATGACTGTTTGACTTTTGATCATTAGCAACTCTTAGAGCTCCTCTTGGCGAGAACACGGTATGAATTTGAGTTCTATTTTTAAAATTAGGATGAATATTTACTGATGTACACACTTGGCAAATGATTTATTGTATAACTAATAATTGTTCATCATTATATTTTAAACTTAAAAACTCACTTCTGATGTTTATTATTTGGCTTAATACACTCAATATATGTGCATTTGACTATGTGATATTCCATTTGTCTTAATACACTCAACACATGTGATTAACTAGAAACACTTGTGAAGTGTAGAAAGTTTTGTAGAACTTACATTCATCTATACCATCAAGAAAGTAAGGTCATTTTTGCTAAAAATCACTTTAGAAATGCATGAGAAAAATGTTTATTTGATCAAAGCCATCATCTTAAATTAGTTACATTTGTAGGTATACCCATCATATACACTTGAACAAAGTCATTGAAGTAGAAGGTTGTGGATGCTGCATTGGTCAAAGCCATAGAAGAAGTACCGGATTTGAAGGCTTATTATGGTGCATCGAGCATACTTAAGTAGTATATATTTTCATTTTTTTTTTGTGTATGGTATTAATAGTCTATTGTTGGAAGTACTATGAACATGACTATTTTTGTTGTAAATATTTTTTATGTTTAAATATATTTTCAATTTGAAATTTAGTGTGTTCATTAGTTTGTTACTTTGATGACATCTAATTTATTAAGAATAGGTATAAATAAAATTAGGGTAATATAAAAATAATAAAAACATTCCATATGATTTAGAATTTTCCTACCAACAGTTGGAAGGAAAATAACAAAATATATTGAAAGTTTTCAGTCCAACGAATTCCGACCAACGCACGTAGTTGGATGGAATTTCCGACCAACATATGTAGTTGGACGGAAATTCCCACATTTTAAAAATGGTGGGTTATTGTCCGGAATTTCCGTCCATTTTTATATGTTGGACGGAATTTCCGACCAAAATGTAGAATTGGACGGAATTTCCCACAAGCGTTTTTCCGAACGTTCAATTTGGTCGGTATGTTGGACGGAAACCTCGTTTCCGACCAATATATCACGTTTTCCGTCCAATATTCGTTGGACGGAAAACGCGAGATTTCCAGCAGTGTGAGTAGTTGGTAAAACTTAAAGTGTGTGAGTTTTGTGTTTAAGGTGCGTGAGATTTGTGTTTAAGGTGCGTGTGTTTTGTACTTAATGTGTGTGTGTTTGTGCTTAATGTAAGACATTTTAAAATTTTAAGTGCGTGAGTTTTGTTCTTTGTTCTGTGCTTAAGGTGTCTGGTTTTTATAGAGTGATTTGTGTTCGAGCTGCTTTGTTTGTGGGCTTATGGTGCGTGGTGATTTGTGTACTTTATGTGCACCAGGTTAATGCTTAAGGTGCGTCCAACCGCGCACCCGAAAGCATCAATCGCACCTGAACCTTTCCCTATATATATATATATGATACCCACCCACCTTGGTGCAAAGTGGAAACATTCTCCCCAGCCATATTCATAGAAACTAGTGACAAGATCATAGTATTTATTGACCTGAAGAAGAGGAAAAAAACATCATACAGTAGTCTATATATATATGATCCTTAATGGTCATCACGTAACAGGAAAAACAGAATCTTGGAACCAATTATTGTCTCACCATGTCAGTGTAGTTACTCTTTCTCTCCTCCTCTTCGCCTCCATAGTAACCATGGTACTTCTCATACCTGATTCAATTCGTTCAACCAAATCAAAACCAACCATCAACACTGAAGAACACAGGTATATATAACTACGAGAAAGATGGAAACAGATGAGAGAATGAAAGGGAAATACTTGTCAACAGAAGACAGAACCTCGGCCTTGTCGATCTTACCGCCAAGCCCAGACGCGAGATCAAAGACTCCAGTTTTCGACATCTCTCCTAAACTTCACCAAAAAAAAAAAAAAATCGCAATTTTTCCAGAAAAAAAAAAAAAAGCACAATGCCGTTTACATACTGAAAGGGAGAGAGGATCTAGAGATACCCTTTGAGAGCACGAGAGAGAAGAGATCAGACTAAGAGTGTGAGAGACAAAAGTGAACGGAGAGAAGAAATACAAAGAAGGCGGCAGAGAGCTCAGAGAATAAGTGGAGGGAAGAGATGGCGAAGGGAATTTATGGAGAGTTGCCACGTGACAAGTGCGTGCGCAGCTCTCGTACGGCCACACTGCCCCAGTGTCCTTGCCCTGTTTGGATTGTGGTCGGACCGTTTATTTTTCAGTTTGTGTTATAGGGTTTTTTTTTAAAGCATGTTTCTGTACATTGTATTATGCATTTTTGTATATTATGTTATGAAATTCTGTACTTAAAATTAAACATCCAAACAACCTCTAATAAATAGAATAATGTCATTTTCCACCACAAAAGGATATGATTATTGTAACTGAATGTCATAATTCTTGGTAACACCATGTGGGTCAAACTTGTCGTATAAGGTCTTCTTAGTACGCCTCAAAAAAAAAGTCAAATAAGACACTCACCTTGATAGGATAAGTCAATTAGTGATTTTTGTGTCATTAGCATGGTTTAGTGGTTTACTAAGTTTTTGGAACCCAAAAAATATCGTATTGTTCTTTAATTGCCAACCAATCTTGTATAAGAAATGAGTCCATGTGTGGTTATTAGCAGGGTTTAGTGATTTACTAAGTGTTTGGAGCCCAACAAATATTGTATTGCCTTTTTTGAATACATATTGTATTGTCTTTAATTGCCAACCAATCTTATATAAGAAATGATATATTAGACCTCCAACTAATTCACTAAATGTGGTGTGCCCTTCTTGCATTATTGTCTTTGGATTTTCTTGAAGAACCATTCGTCCATTATTAAACAACCACTAATAAATAGAACAATGTTGTTTTCTTCCCTTCTTGCTTAATTGTAATTTGTCAACACCTTTCACTTTAGGATCGGATTTTCTTGAAGAATAGCATTCATTGCATCCACTAACCATCCAAACAACCTCTAATAAATAGAATAATGTTATTTACTGCCTTATTGGATAATTGTCAACATCCTATCTTTCACTTTGGGATTTTCTTGAAGAGTAGCGCAGCATTGACCCATTAACCATCCAAACAACCTCTAATAAATAGAATAATGTTATTTTCCACCACAAAAGGGTAATTAAGAGTATGATTAATGTTATTTTCCACCACAAAAGGGTAATTAAGAGTATGATTATTGTAATTGAATGTCATAATTCTTGTTAACACTCTATGGGTCAAATTTTCGCACAAGGTCTTCATAGTACGCCACAAAAAAAAAAGTTAAATTAAATAAGATACTCTTACATGTGTGATGTATCTATCGAGAATTAACTTATTTTGGGGTTTGGATGCACAAAAATTGCGAGTTAATAAGTTTAATTGTAACTTTTAAATGTTTATGAACCTAATTGGTTTATCGTATAAAGTACAAGGGCATATTTTACACTTTTCACAAAAGCTAATGCTATTTTTCTCTTAAGAGCATCCTCAATAGTTGTAGTTGTTGAGAAGTTTTTGCATATATGATTAGGAAAGAGAAAAAAAAATACAAAACAAAACTGAAAACAAAAATAAAAGGTTGAAAACTGTCACTAATGCGTCCGGATGGGCGCTGTGTTGGGTCTCACACGCGCAGGGATTTTTTATTTTTTTTTATTTTTTTTTTTTGGAATTAAAAAGTGATTTCTAATGATAACACTAGAAAACGCGAAATAAGAAAGAAAGTTATTGACTCTATTACATTGAGGCTCGATCTCATGACCTCCAATATGGAAGAGTCACTACATGTCATCTGAGTACAAGGTGCTTAGCATATTAAAGAGTCGATTAATGTTCAATATATTCATATTGGTTGAAGCGATTTTTTATACTGATTGAATCATAACAAGAATCGAACACTTACAATTGAGACTACATACGTTTCATCATTCACTGATAGAATTCACTAATGATTGTATAGAAATAATTTACTACATAACTATTTTTATCAAATAAAACGGAGAGAGTATAAACTATTGTGATGATAACTCGAAGACTCTACAACAACCATCTAACACTTGCCATATCTGAATAAATATAAATTATTGTGATGATAACTTAAAGAGTGTATATATACCAATTACCTAACTCTTTTAATGCATCACAACCCCCACATATTGTAGTGCAATTATTTGAATTAGCACTCCAAAGCATAGTGCCACTGAATTGTACCTCGTGTTATTTTATTGAAGTGTCTTTCTAAACCACATGACATATCATGTTGCGGTTGAATAAAGTTTCATTTATATTCTAAATTGAGTTTTAAATTATCTGTATCCCTAAAATGCTCTCACACTTTTTTAATGTGAGAGATACTGTTATGTAATATAATTTTATTTACAATAATAATATTTTTTATTTTTGTAGAAAAAATGGCCCTTCAAGGATGAGTGTATACACATATACTTAACAATAAAAATAAATGCAGGTTATTGCTCATCAACATACATTATTGATGGTAGTAATGAATAATGGCTTTTGAAAAAAAAAATGATTTTTTATTGCTTTTGGTTGCTCACACTAAATATTGGTTACTCTATATCTCTCCATCCATATACCATGGACTTGGACTTAGGTTTACACTGCAATATGAATTATGATACATGTGTATGTGTTTTATATTGTGAGTTTTTGTCTTGTGTTATAAAATTTTGTACCTTAAGAGTATGAATTCTGTATCTGAAACAAATTAGTAATAGTGTTTTATGTTATGAAATTTTGTGCTTATGAACACACATTATATACATAAATTAAATTTAAAAAATAAGTAAATATATAATATATATATATATGTGTCTTGTATTATGAAATTTTGTACCTTATGAGTATAAATTTTGTACCTTATCGTTTCGATCCAAGACCCATAATGTCATACGGACCGACCATGATATAATTTGCCTATATCTCTATGATAAAGTAAAAGTAGTTTTTTGTATAGACCGGAAAGTTGGGCCATGTTCAAGCCCATTGGACTCACACAATAATGATTGCTACGGACCTGCAAATCTTTAAAAAATCAATTGAATTAAGAATTAATTAAAAAAAATTGATAATTGTATAGAAAAATGATTTAGATAGTTTAAACAAATATTAATATAATTTTTTAAACATATAATCCATATAAAATGAATTTAAATGTTCAAAATTTTAGATAAACTTAATAATTAATAGGAATACATTTTTTACAAATCATTTATTTAATGTACTACTCCGTAACTACTAATACAATATATATACTAATTTTACACACATATTACGCGACTGATTTAATGTTCAATTTTGTATTTAAATAAGTAATTCAAAAGTGGAGCCTAAATTAGGTAGTATAACTCTATATATAAACACATACGTAACACTATAGCCTACCATGTCCTTTTAGTGGGGCTGGGCAAATCAGCAAGCTTAATGCAGCCAACAATCTGAATTGTAATGACTTTTTAGGCTTAGCCCTTGTTTGGCAATTAACTATTAGCAGTTAGTGAATAGTGAATTATATCAATAGATTGAAAAAGTATGTTTGAACAGATACTACAATGTAATAGAGTTAGTAGCATTAAAGAAAAAAAAACTTATGAACTATTAACTTCAACTTTCAGCTAAAAGCATGCCAATTGCCAAATAGAACCAATCTATTACAAAACAAAAAGATAATAGATTTATAGTCTAAGGCAATTACATGGTTGCAACATATGACTCACATTTGACACTTTACTAACCATTGCAACAACTCTACCAACCATTCATTACACACACAAAAAACTTGTCGGGAATACAACAACGTTTTTAAAAAGGATTGTACTTCAATCTCGAGAGCCTCAACCTGCTCCTATCGTGGAGCCTACAACGACATCGTTCTCTGGTCTAGACAGCGGGGGAGACCTTAACCTCGTCGAGAACCGGGCCACAGAGAGTTCCATAGTCATTGATCCTAGTATGGTAAAAGGAGCTGAAGAAAGTTAACCTAGTTCTGATTGAAATGGCAGTGAACCTGAAGCTGACAGATTTGGAGTGGCCTTTCCCGACGGATCTGAAGGGAACTTTGAAGGCGCTCTTGCCTGCAAACGCCTCGACCATCATGTCGCCATGGCAGCCGTTCTTGGCGTCTCCCACGGTGAACGCTAGGGTGTAGACCTTATTCGGGACGGTTCTGATGATCTGTGCAATCGCACTTTCCCTCCCTGCCACCAGCTCGACTGCTGCCCGCCCGAAGGGGATGTTGAAGTGGGCTGCGTCTATGTACTTGACCGCCTTGAGCGACTCGATTAGCCAGCCTGGAAGCGGGGATACCATGTCTTGCTGCTTTGGAGGGAGGAGAACGCCGTTTGAAGCGTTCCTTAGCCGGTGAGGACCCTCCTCAAACCCGTTGTTCCTCACCAAATTCTCTGTGGGAATCAAGAAAAGACAGTCATCAGACATTCAGACATCATTGTTCTTCACATTCTTAATACAGTTTCCTAAATCATGAGCAAATCTTACATAGACACAGTAGTTGAAACAATCAAACAAGCATCTCTAGTATGAGCTAGTCATGACACATTTATTGAAATGGAACTTTATTCACTAAACCTTGTCACTAGGCCAAGCGTTATAACACCATCAACGGTTTTACCACGAGCTAATCCACATTAATTGAAATGAACCCTTTTTTCACTAAATATTGTCATTAGGCCAAGTGTCATAGCACCAGTGTTGTAAAAATCTGCCTAGGCCCTAGGTGCCCCTAGGCCGAGGCAATCTCAGCCCTAGGCTGGCGGCTTTTAGTCGGCTGACCGATTAACTAGCCGACTAAGCGTCGACTTGGCCGAGTTGAGCGTCTAACTCGGCCGAATCGGATGCTTAACTCAACCAAGTCGGTGCCCAATTGACCGAATTTGCGTCCAACTCGGTCGAGTGGTTTTTTTTGATCTGCTTGGCTATTCCTCTTCTATATTTCTCCAGTCATGTACCCAACTAACCATTTAACATATGCAATTGACTGTTTGGAGATTATAACAGTCTAACAGCTCCTAGCCCTCAATGAAAGACGATATACTCGAATTACTCGGCAGTCTAGGCACTAGGCGCCCGACTAGGGCCTTTTGCACAACACCATCAACAAACAATCTCACTACGAGTTAATGAGGCATAGACACACTAATTGAAACGAGATTTTGTCCTAAGAAATTGATATAAGTAGCAATATCTATAGACTGAACTATCATCCTAACCAGATAAACAAGAAGTTCTTCATAAAATCTAACAGGATTTAGTACCTCTAGTGGGCAATACAGGCAGGAGTTCCTTAATAGCAACAGCATCAATGAGAGGTCCACAAGTGGGATCTTCTTGCTTCCCAGGGTTATGGAACGTCACCATTGCAGCCTCAGAAGCGGCTCTGAAAGCAAAGGAAACCACATCGCCGCCATTGCTGCTGTAAAGTGTCTGCAGAGGAATGTCTCCGGACAAGGGGGGAACCGACACCCTCAAAACCTCTTCCTGCGCGCACGTTCTCGACGCCGCAAATGTCAGCGCGTAAAGAGCCCCCTTCTTCACCGGGATGTTCTGCGATATCGACGCCTCGTTTCCCAGCCTCACGGCGTGGACGCCGTGCGCCACCGGAAAGAACATCCCCCCCGGCTGCGGCCCGCCGGAGATGTACTCCACTAGGCCGGAGGTTTCCCATCTCGGCAGCGCGTGTTTCCCTTGGAGAACTGTTTTCTTTATGTCACTCGCCTTCGGACCCTCCTCAAAGTTCCCATTTGGCAGAAAACCTGAGATTACAAATCAAAACCAAACATTCAAACAATCGCCATTCTTGAGTTCCAGACATTTTTGTACTAAATTAAGGTTACAAGGAAGAGCGAAACAAATAGTCCCATGAACTGACTGAGATCTAGCTAGATAACTTTACCTTCAAGAGGAGCATTTAGAGCAGAAACAGCTAAAACTAAGCAGAAAAAGAGCGCAAAACAAATCTTGGCAGCCATTTTTGTGGGATTAAGCTAAAAAGGGATAGGGCTTTCTCTCTAGAATGCTTCACTGCATTTATATACTCCCATATCAGTACTGGGTACTGGCTCTCCATTATGTAAAGAAACATTGAAATAAATAATAAAAAAATGTAAATATTTTTTTATTTTGAAATTATAATATCATGGCACAAGTATTGTCCCTTTGTGAGTACTTTTGGGAATCCAATTTTCCTCCTTAATCTATGCAGCAACATTGGTTAATCTGCAGCACAGCAGTTTGATTTGCTTTTGAAGATGCTCATATCTTTAATTTGAATATTTTGACCAGTAACAGTGTGGGAAATCGCAATGTTCTTGGACTAATCTTGAAAATTGAAATCATTACAAATATATATATCTTAATATTGCATATTAAAAAATTATTACACTTGCATAGTATAATATAAGATGAAGTTTGGGCTTTTTTTTTTTTTTTTTTGAAAGCAAAAAACGTAACGATATATTAAGATTGATCGAAAAAAAATCAAGAGGAACACTATCCTAGTTCAATCGGCCATATTGGGAACCAGCCGCCTTAGTAAAAGCATAAGCGAACCGATTCATAAACACTTTCTTTATAATATTTGAACATTCTATAATGAAATATGAGATTACGTTGTCTTATACAAACATTGTCTCTATGTTCATATTTCATTAGTCCTTAATCTTATTTGTATGTTACTTATTTATGACTCCTTGGTTAATTTTTCTGTTTTTTTCTCTTTTATCACACATGTAATGAATTTGTGTTTTAAAAATATGAAAAATGAAAACGCTCAAAACAATAAAAGTAGGAATTGAATGTGGTAGGAATAATATAAAGTTTGTAATTAAGATGTTAGTTTTATCATTTTTATTGCTGTTGGTGTCCCAAACATGTCTTTGTACCGTAGTTGTTAAGCAGTAAGCACAACCATTATATTTTGTCTAAATAAAAGTAGTTAGAAAGGACATGTTTGTTTGCTTTACATTTTATTTTATTTTTTGAAAATAGCTGAAAATTTTAAGGAAATAAATTTTGTCTAAAATCTGTTTAAAATACTAGAAATTTGGTATCTATATAGTGTCAAGCCTGACATTGGCTAGTTTCAATCCTCTTTTAATTTAAAAACTAATTTATTTGATGCAGTTAAAAATTGGTTTACGATAGATAACGCGAAAGATGAAGCAGTCTCTATTGTGAGGTTCTTTTTTTTTTACTTTGTTAAGCAATTATCGAAATGTGCAGTCTATTTGATTGCACGGGAGGTCGGTTCTTTGCCTAATCGTATTTGTTGGCTTTCTAATCCGCCACATTTTGTACTTAGAGTTTTACATGCTGATAATGAAAGTTGAGCTTGACTCTTGTTCAAAAAAAAAAAAAAAAACTAGTTTAGGGGAAGTTCAAAATTAGTCATACTTATAAAATCAATGGTTGGTGTGAATTTTAAGGGAGACCCAACAATAATCATTTGAAATGCTCAAGATTGAAGTTTTTGAGTTGTTATCCGATCCCTATTAGGCAATTCTATTATCATTCCACTACAAAACCAGTTTGACATAGTTTTAAAGGGGTTCAAGACATTCAATAATACTATAACATAACTGCATTTAATTCAAAATACAATTTGATTGTATATGACATTATTTTAGAAATTATATGAATTCAAATTACACATTGTTCCACTTATTTGTAGATATTAATAGGTGTTTTCATGTTAAGCATGTTTGAAGCCATGACAGGCGCATGTAATTTGTGGTCAATCCTAACATAAATGTCTTTATAAATGTGTTTTTTTTTTTTTGAAAAAAAAAACAAAAAACTGCTTTTTAATTTTGACTAACTCTTCATTTATTCAATTCAAATAAGCAATGTAAGCTATAGCTTTATAGGTAAAACAACACCTTTTTTTTTTTAAACGTACAAAAAAAATAATATACTTTTCTTCCTCGGTAGCCGCCTACACTATTGCTCAGAAAACATTTTCTATGTTAGGTTGTAGGGTGTGATTTGATATCCCTCTTCTTTTTTCTGGTTGATTATCTTATTTATGATTTAATGATTTATTTTTTTATTTAAAAAAAAAAATCAAACTCAAAATAAACATTAAAAGGAAAAAGAAAAAGAAAAAACCAAAATTAGGAGGGCAGCCGAAAGGCGGCAGCGGTTCTAGAGTGGCGCCATGGGGAAGTGGGTCCCACTGTCCCAATTGAATCACAGATTTCCGCATAGATCGACGCGGGGGAACGAACAGAAGCGTGCGGGGGCCCACAGTTGTTGGCGTGATTTGCTCCCAACTGCAAAGCCCATGTGATTTGTTGACACGACCGCTCATTCCCGGAAGGGAACCCATTTCGCCTCTGTCACACGTGTCAGGTTCGATGAACGAATTTAGCTTAATGATTAAAAATATTGTTTTTAGAGTTCTATTACATGTACTCTTAATCTTACTCTTTAAATTTTATTATTTTATGTAGAGGATTCTGATAAGTTATTTTCTTTATATGAGTTTCAATATAAGTATCTACATTAATGTTTTGTATGTGTGAATACAAAATAAAAATACATATAATATTTTCTTTATTTTTATCTTCGTGATTTACATTATTTCAAATTCTCTGTCTCGAGGTGTAGGAGTCTTGGAATTGGAGATTCAATTCTTTAGAAGGAGAAATGCTATTTTGTCATGAAGCATTCATTAATTGAATGAGTGGGAAACAAATTAATTAATATTAACAGTTAATTGTAACGTAAAAAAAAGTTGGAGACAAATAAAAAATATTTGGTAAAACATTTCAATACAAGGCATTAACAACTCCATTATTTTACGGCAATTCAAGGACAGCGAGTATGGTAGGTAGAATGGTGCGGGGCAAATATTTGACCATTTATTACTCTGAATTATCGTTAGACCACAAAGGCAAAAATTGGCTTCGAATAAATATATATAATTATTGCATTTAAGGATTATATGTTTGATTTGTTAATACTTTTTCGGTCCACTCACTCGATGATAGTTATCGCATGTTTATTTTGTCATTCAATTTGTTTAAGAGGCAAATTCAGAAAAATATAACATGTTATTGACATATTTCTAATACTAGAAAAAACGACTAAAAAAATTAAAAATTACATAATACAAGATTAGGTAACACTCGCATAGTGTCTGGATAAGTATGATTGTACCACAAACATATGTTTAAAGAATTCATATAACTTAAATTTTCAAATTTATGATCAAATGAAGTTGATATAGTAAATACGAGGCTTACTACAAGTACGTATGAAGTACTTGATCGGATTGGGCTTCGGCCTTTATATGATATGCTTGTTGGTTTAAGATGTTAAGCTCGATTTTAGCGTGAGGCCAAAGGTTCCCGAGCTAAGTAAAGCTGTAGAGAAATTGTCAAAAGTCCCTCTTCCTTCCATTAAGTGCGATAATTATAGGAGCGATGATGGGACAGGTACCGGTCTCTCGACATGCAAGGCACGTGGAGCACATGCAAAAGCCAAGCCGATGATCCTTGCTGATTTAAACGCATGTTCGCGGGCTCTTACTTCTATAAAAAAGTTCACTATTATTATGCTTAACTGGCGTTCCGAGTATTGGGGTCGGGGTTCAGGTCCGACCTATAATGATTGGGGCGGATCAAACTGTGTTGACCTCAAATTTGTTTACCAAACCCCCTTGGTCTCTTAACCCGAGTTGGGAAAAAGCGACCGGGCCTATTTCGGTCAGACCTGGCTCCACAACTCCAATGGATCCGGTTCCGAGCAAGTACAGTGGGGTCAGAAGGTATTCCCTTTAGAAATCATTTGATCATCACAATATTTAATTTTATGATAGATATATACGAAATAATTTGTATTAGTAATAAATCTCGGGTAGCTTGTAAAATTAAGTGTTGATGATCATGGACCGACTTCCCCTTGTTATCCACAATTTTTTATGCTACGTTATTTAAAAACATGTAGGAACAATGAACGTGGATGGGGACAGATAGTTGGATTGGCGAGATTTGGGTCTCATGCACAATTATTGTTGAAAATCTTAAATCTATCTTAACACATAATTACATGCATCAATTATCACTTCACTAATTTAACTTCTTCAATAATCCACAACATAATTGATTCCCCATGAAATTATTTCAAAAATAATTCACAATGGATGCTGGTGTATGTTGAGTGGTATACCATAAAAAACAATATTAAATGTTAACATATATAAATTAAAAATTGTTCAAATATATTGGCCGAACCTGTTTTTTATTTATGTTGTGTAGTGTAATTTTTATTTATGTATGATTTATAAATTATTACATATGAGTTATGTTTATTTAATGTACATAAATAGGGAGTGTTTGTAAATAGTTATTGGCTGATTGTGTTAGTATTTTAGAGTAATAAACTGTTACAAAAAAAAGTAATTAATCAAGCACTCATATTGATTGTCCAAATCAAACAATTAATAATGGTCAAATATATCAAAATTAATCGATAAACTAATTATATTACATAGGACTACAAATTTCATTCATCACTCACTAAAAAGCAAGACAAACTCGAATCTACAAAAGCTTTGCTGATGAAAATAACAAACTAAGTTAAACACCAGCAAAGAAATAACTAGAAAAGGCCATTTTTTTTAATTACATTTCATCATAAAATGGTCTTGTATCAGATGCAGTTTTTAAGCTTATCAATGAACAAAACAAAACAAAACAAAAAAAAAGGTACAAAAATGGATCTTGATTACAGATTCCCAAGAAATTAATAAAAAAAACTGCTAGCAAATCTTAGCACCCAATGAAGCTCAGATGCATTGATTAGCTTTAGCTCCCGGCGGCCTTCAAGAAATTATCGTACGGACTCGAAGCTGGCAGCTGCATGAAGCTGGGATGGCGCTGGTATTCCGTCGCACACGACGCCGGAGCAGCGGCGTTCACTGGTTGCCCCGCCGCCGCAGTATTATTGTCGGCGAAGGGGTTCCCACTCGGCGGCTGCCAGATCTGCAGGAACATAAATTTGTTTCGGATATCAGATGTCAAACATTAATCCTAAGATATATTAGAATCCAGTTGAAGAATGACGATGAAAATCACACTATTATTCAAAAGCATGGCTGAAAAAATCGCTAGGCATCTATTGGGCGCTCGGGGAGCGCTTAGCGCCTAAGCGGGGATTAATCGGCGCCTGAGGGGCAATGTATTTTTTATTTTATTTTTTATCTTTAAAAAATTTATTTAAAATTTTTAAAGACGTGATAATTATAAATTATTTAATACTTTAATATTTACTACCTAAAATATTAAATATTAACTTAAAAAACATCTAGAGTTTGAACAATTTAGGGTTATTTTACTCAAAATGATGTTGTTTTGAGCGAAATAACTCATTAAAAAAAATGAAACAATAGTTAATTGGCCGACTAGGTGACCTAGCTGGTGCCTAGGCGATCAGTGCCCTAGGCGGCCTAGACGGCACTTAGGCGGCCTAGTCGGTCGCCTAGCCGGCCAAGCGCCTAGACCACCCATTATGGTGATACGCTAGGCGGCCGACTAGCGCCTAGACACCAATTAATCGGTGCTTAGGAGGAATTTTTGCAACATTGTTCAAAAGTGTGCACGAAAGTAAATCAGTAAAGATTTAACTTAAACAAAGAAGGTCAGGTCAATAAACTACTTGTGTAATTTTATGGTTACTAAGTTAATTGACGAACTTACAGTTTCTTCGGAGAAATTGAAATCCGGTTCATCGTTTCCGTCTTCACGGAAGTTCATCCGATTTCCCTTTCCTTCTTGGAAAGCCTCGCACTGGCTAGCCACATCCATGAACGTCATGCCAGCAGGTGGCGCGGCCGATTGTCGTCCTACTTGGTTTGATGTTTCCAACACCTATAATAGTGTCATAATAATAAGTTTAAATTTTTAGTTAAGAAGACAAAACACATATTTTCCAGTTAGGACAAGGAATCAAACGTACCGAATCTAGGAACTCGTTGACATCAAGGAGGTTAGGTGTGGAATCAGGATGTGCGTTTGGATCGGAATGACTGCCAAGGTCATCTACTGTGAAAGTAGGATCTACAACCTGCGTTTTTTAGAATTTAAGATTAAATCGAGGTTGACCAGAATTTAAAACTCGATTATAATGTACATGGGTCAAACCAGCATTATACCTCGTCATTAGTTTTGTCATCAGATTGGTTATGGTTTCTCAGGTCATTGATTCGTTGTGTTCCCATTGGACAAACCTCATCAGGAAGGAAATCTTGAAGCAACTGCTCTTTGATGAGATTAGTCTTATCCTGCAAAAGTATCCAAAACTATGGTCATATATATACACAAACATGCATGCATGGTTTAGGGAAGACAGAAGAAGCTAAGGAGCATACAGTGATTGACTTCTTCAAGCTCTCAACTATCATTGAAGCAAAAGATTCTGTTGATTGCTTCTTTGATATCTCTATTCCTGACAGAGATCTCTTAGCAGCTTCATCATCCTCCTTTGATCCGTAAGAAGCTCTCGCCTTAGGGTTAGGGTTTACCTTGAGGTGGCACTCATCCACCAACTGCAGGAAAGGGTCCATCTGTTGCAGAACAACAACAATTTTTTTTCTTTTGAGTAAATTCACAGTTACTACTCGAAAGTGTGAACTCGGTAAACTCTGTCTTGTAACCCTAGCTAGAAACGGACCTCCTAAATCAGTCTAAGTTGTCCAAAGCTAACATGCTCAAACTAAGAAGGCCAATAGGCTACTCTCACATGGAGTCAATCTTGGAGCCTTACCAAGTCTACCACTCGTCCAACTTGACTGGGGTGTAAACCCTGTCTTGTGAACCTAACTAGCAACGAACCTCTTAAACCAGCCTAGTTGCTCAAAGCTGATCTGCTCAAACTAAGAAGGCCAATAGACTGCTCACACAGAGAGTTAAGCTTGGAGCCTTACCAAGTCTACCACTCGTCCAACTTGACTGGGGTGTAAACCCTATCTTGTGACCCTAACTAGCAACGGACCTTTTAAACCAGCCTAGGTTGCTCAAACCAAGTAGGCCAATAGAATGCTCACATAGGGAGTCAAGCTTGGAGCCTTACCAAGTCTACCGCTCGTCCAACTTGATTGGAGTGTAAACCCTGTCTTGTGACCCTAACTAGCAATGGACCTCTTAAACCAGCCTAGGTTGCTCAAAGCTGACCTGCTCAAACCAAGTAGGCCTATAGACTGTTCACACAGTGAGTCAAGCTTGGAGCCTTGTAGTTACCAAATTTACGGCTTGACCAACTTGACTGGGATTGCCCTAGAATCAGAAGTTGTTAGCATAGAAACTGTGATGGTTTTACTTACTGTTTTGTCTGTCAACAAAGCCTTAGCAGAAACAGCAAGAGGGATAAAGCTGTAGGTTTTTGACAGGAAAATTATCATGGATGTTGCCAAGGCAAAGAGTGATCTGCGGCGTGATGGTGGCATTTTTGCTACAAAAAATGAAAGCCATGGTTTCAGGAATGCTGGCAGATTATTGTGAACCTAATGCAGATATATCAGAAGAAACTAAAAATGAAGTACCTTGCTCACTAAGTGAAATGCTCCTCAATGAAAATGCAAGCTGGAAGCCTCTAATCAGAGACTCATGGCTGGATTTCTGCATATAAGAGCAGACTGTCAAATAATGCGTTTAATTTGCTCGGTCTAAACTGATAGTGGAATTGTACATTTAACTCGTTACGTACCTTAGTTCGAGAAAACAGCATCAACAAGCTGTAAGTATGAGCGATTGCTTCGAAATGCTCAGGCGTATTTAAATGAGAGATGGCCTGCACAAATATGGAGGAAAGAAGCATGCTAATTTGCCTGCTCTTCATCTTCAGAGAAAGGCCTTCATGATGCTCCTATAAGACAAACAACATCATAGTCACAATTAAGAACCAAGCTTTAATTTGTATGTTTCTCAATCTTGAAACATTAAAACTATATATATATACCTGCGGGTTTTCCCCATTATTAGGTGTCTCTTCGCTTCCCGGTTTAACGCTTAATGATCGACTATAGGTCGATGTGAGGCGATTGAGCATGTTTTGGGTGTTCTGATCCATACCATCTTTTCCAGAGCTTTGATTTTTACCCAACTTATCAAACAAAGCAGCTGAGGAGGAAAACACTGAAACAGTTCTGGACAGAGTTCTCTGAATGGACTTTCGTTTGGAGAGTGCACCACCTGCAGGGGCTTGACGGGGGCAAACCGAGGATGGAACGAGTACCACGGAGAAAACACGGTGAGCCCCGAGCCTCGTCTCGTTGTCTGGAGACACCATGGCTAGAAGGATTTGGTGGAACAGTGCCTCAGGGAAAGCCTGAAAACATCATGTATCAGATAGCGGGTCCTAAATTAGCTGATAGCTGATAGCAGATAGTGGGCTTGCCTTGTTTTGATAGGCCGAATTGGGCAAGGCAGCCACAATCTGAGCGGTGCGGTATACTGTGTTCATTGTATTCCTGGCCATGATTGTTACACTCGAGATGCTTTCCAACATCACCGCAACCACTTCAAGAATTGGTGCAGCATCTCCGACCTGTCTCACACACAAGGATATGATCATGATCACAAATTTTGAGTCACTTATGGTATAAAAGATATATGGGTACAAAAACCTCACCTTGTGAGATAACTGGACAAGGCATTCATCAACAGCAGCCCGGTATCGTTTGTTCCAATCGATCACTTCTTCCCCGAGATCTGAGTCATCAAGGGAGCAGTGTATGCTCTTCCTCAGGTGTCTCATCATGTCACTAAATGCACCCACAATGGTCACAGATGGCTCCACCTTGGTCACGCGGGCAAGGGCTGTGGCTACTTCAATTATATCTATCTGCATCTCAGGTTCCTTCAGGACATTCTTGTGATCCAGGTGCTTAATCAGTGTGCAAAGCAAGAAATGTGTATTGTGCCCTGCATAACCAAGTCGGTCAGACTATTAGCTCACTAACCATAAGGTTCCAAGTTTTGACTCTCAAATTCTGATAGGAGCCGTCTACTGGCCATATTGGTTTGAGTGGTAGACTGGTTTACCTCCTTATGATCCTTTATCGGGTCACAAGGCAGGGTTTAGTCAGTTATGATCAACATAGGCTGGTTTACCTCCTTATGATTCTTTTATCTGGTCACAAGGCAGGATTTACCAGCAAAATTGATAAGAGTAAGAAGAGAGAAGGATGAATGACCAGAGTTCTCCATAATGCACTGCATGTCCAGCAAAACAGTGAGGGCAACTCCATGCTGAGGTGACCATAGATTGCTGCTGTCAAAGTAACGGAACAAGGACTCGAGCACACGCCGCACAGTTGTTGCTTCCTTGGCTAACTTAGCCATGTTATGCAAGCACACCTTAGACCAGAATTGAGGTTTCATGGCATCCTCCCTGTTTAAATAATTAAGATGTCAACACTGGTTGAACACAAAGTGGACCGAACAAGCTCTGATAAACCCATATAAGATGGATTACGTACGCTGACACGTTTAGGCCTCTATCTGTCACAATGGTCCTCCAAGAAGTAGCTCTTTTCAGTGCATCAGCAGAAGCTTGTTCTACAGCTTCCTGCTCGGCTTGTGCATCTTGGTTCTCATTCAAAATGCTTTCAATTTTCTCGTCCGACGCCTCGCAGTTTTCCAAGACAACAGACACAACCTGCAGGAAATGCAAATTCATTGGTTAAACAATGCAAATAATAATTCTGATCTGATGAATTAGTAACTTAACAGAAGTTTTAATTTGGCTTACATTGTCAAATTCTGCAGACATTTGACCAAATTCACCCATGAACCAAATCTGCAGTAAACCAGCAGAGAATCAAGCTAAGGCCTGCAAATACTTCCAAATTCCAAACAGTTGAGAGTGCAGAAAAATTTAAAATTTATAGTTTACCATGGAAGAGAGGGCTTGAAGGCCCGCACAGCGCAGTTTAAGAACTCTTTCTTCATCTCCCATTTCTTGACCAACAACACACACTTTTGGGATCAACCCTTCCAAGTTAAACATATATGTTGCATCAGCCTGACTGTTCACGAAGTCGAACAACGCTTCGCATCCCACAATTCGCATCTCGTCGTGCCTTACTTGATCCAACAGGATGTGCACTAAGCTCAGAAAGCTTCCTGCAAACATTGGCCTGCCATGGAGATCAATAACATTTGGTCAAAAAATACGAACACTAATAACTCGAGAATAGCCTAATACCACAGTCCCCGGAATTGAAGCATATGCTCCGTCTCAACTAAAAGTTTAAGCTAATAGTTGGATTGCACATTAATAACTATATGCTCAAGCAACACGTGGACTCGCTTATCTGGTAGCGCTGAGATTCAAACTCATGACCTTTAGTCTGGCTCTGAGTATACTAGGTCTATTCCCGAGAATCGTAAGCCAAACATGTTGAAAAGAACTTACATTTGCTGCTTGCAAGATGTGAGCAACCTTCGGTAGATGTACATGACAATCTTGACAGATGCAATGTTCTCATTCCTTAATTCTCTGTAGCACTTTTGATCAAGAGAAGCCGTGATCTGATCATCATAAAATGAGTGCACTATATTAAATCTCTGCAGCTAGCTAGCTACCAAAATGTTTGCAATATATATATATACGATTCAAATCGAATATAACGATGATCATCACCCTAGGAATACGAAGCGGATTCTTGGAAGCGTATTCGCATAATTTGTTGATCATTCTATCATTCGGTGGCTGATCCTGTAAAACCACAAATCAGAGAGAATTCATCAGAGATGAATAATTATTCCGATCGAGCAAGATTAGATCTGATCGGAGATCGGCGACGAACCGGAGAGCGAGGAAAGATGTCGGCGAGCATCTTCTTGTAGCGCTTCAATGGATGCCGAGACCGCGGCCGCATCGCCGGGCAAAAAATGCAGAGCTGATCACACGCAGGCATGATCACCTGCGCCCAATTCAAATTCAAATCAAATTAAACTCAGAAATCACAAAAAACGGAGAAAAATTAAAAATAGATATGAAAATGGGGCATTAATTAATTATATTACAACTCTGGATTGAAATCGAAGAAATAATATCCCAGACTGAGTTCAATTCCGCAACGGCATATACTAATGGATATATATTATTCGATAGATTAATTTAATTTATTACTATATTTTATGGTTTGTTTGAAGAATAAATGACGATGGAAATTGATGGAGGTTTCATGGAAATAGAAAGCAAGTTAGGCTCGCTGGGGGATTGAGCCTGAGGAGAGAGGGAGATCGATCGGAGAAATCTCTCAGGCCCGATCTCCTACTTCCTCAAATGGCCCCGGAGATGGAGAGGGTTAAGTAAAATAGAAAGAAAAAAAGGAGAGAGAGAGGAATAAGGTGGCCGGGGTTGGTGTTTATACGAGAACGAGAAGTTTTAGCGAGTTTGCATGGCTGCCAGGAAAACCAATCAGGAAATACCAACCAACCATGCATGCATGCATATTGTACGTTCGATCTGTTACACTAATTTTTTTTTAATTCAAATATTAAAATTTAGTTACATAGTTTTACTACATATACTCTATAGTTTTATTATGGATGATTAGTATTTTCATTATGTGAGTTTCAAATAAAATGTTAACATTAAAATTTTGTAAGAAAAAATAAAAGTTGGGAATAGAAGTAATATTTTCCCGTGAAAAATCAACTCAAAGACACATCATCAAATTAAATGAAAAAAAATTAAATGATTTTGTTTTCCACTTTACATTGCAAGTGAGAAACTTGTAAGGTTGGGTCAGCCTTATTATTAATTAGCTAGCTTGCACCATTCTAAATATTTGTAAAATGTTCCACGTTGCATAAGCACATTAACCTATTAATTTAAATAATTGGTAAGTGAGCTACTAATAAAATGGTAAGATCAATGTTTGGGTGCTAGATATATGCCAAACACACTCACACATATCCATTATCATGTGTGAACTGGCATTAACGTGCGAACTACTGAAGGATTGCACCGCACCAGATGTGATTGCATCGTAAAATCTCTCTAGGCATGTCTGGGAGCCGTTGGGATTCAACCATGTAGTAGTTGCGGTACAATCATTCAGTAGTTTGTAGGTTCGCAAGTTAAGGCTGATTCGCGCGCACACACACACACACATGTATATATATTGACGGTACATATGTTACCGGAAATATTGTTATGAGACTAATAAGTGACAATAGTATTTGCTTTGTGTTTCAGTACAGTATATTGAACGTGTCCTCCCAAGCTGAGGGGAGCATCTACTTATACAAGGGTGCTAACGGTAACAACATGGAACATATATAAATGGGGAGCTAAGCCTTTAATTCTCTCTCATCAATGGTGGCTTCAATGACAATAAATGTGACACCTGTTGGAATTCTGTCCGTTGGGTTTCCATGTGGTGCTGGGTCAAATATGGCGCCGGATCAAATACCCACTTATGATCTGGGTCGGGTGCCAGCCCTATTATCCTGTCACCAGTCCCCCCTACTCCTGAGTCTACGGATGTGTTTGAGTTGACTTAGGAGTAAAGCTGAATCTATCTTGATACTGCGCAGAATCCTGAGTGATTTAGGATATGTGATTTTGTTTTCCAAATCCCTCATGATTTGTGCTTTCCAAATCATTTCCTGCCTGAGCAGTTTGAGCACCTCTCTATCAACTCTTGTCACCCTCTATCAGTTTCTGCGATTTATCGTTTTTTTTTTTTTTTTTTTTTTTTTTTTTTTTTTTTTTTTTTACTTTGCAGCGTGGGCCGGCTTTGAGATTTGGTTGATAAAAATAAGAAATCCAAATGTTATCACATGTATTAACATCGACTTGAGAGTTTTACATTTGATTTTCTATGAGTGCATAAATAAATATAGGATAAATGGTCAAATAGATCCTAAACATTATACAAAAGTGCAATTAAGTTATTATTATTATTTTTTTTACCAATACTATGCGGTGTAATATAATGGTACCCGGGTTGTACTTTCATTTGGAAGAAGATTGTGAGTTCGAGCCTTAGTGGAGGCGTTGTTGGTTCTTTGTGTTTCAGTAGGTTGAGAAAGTATATGAATATATACTACATTGTAATAGAGCCAATAACATTCAAAAAGTTATTATTTTTTAAAAAAAATTAATTAAACTTATCATTTTGATGCATCCAGATCTAATAGACAATCTACTAGTAATGCCCGATAATTAAATTTCAGATGGTTAAATCGATCGCCGAAAGTCGATGGCTTTCTTCCTCAGTCAAAGAAGGCAACCCTGCATCGCCTTCTTCATAGAGAATATGGCGACCAAGTGTCGCTTCCTCATCTGATCTAGGAAGAAGGCAACCAATCGCTTTCTTCAACTGAGGAAGAAGGCGACGCTTGTTGTATTCTTCCTGGAGAAGGAGGCGACCAAACGTCACATTCTTCTTGGAGAAGGATGTAGTTGGTCGCCAATGACCGTTTTGAGTTTTCGATGATCTTTTTTTATTACTATTTAAGATGGCGGTCAATGATGTTATAATTACTGATAACCTATTGGTTACCTACTAAGTGGAATTGTTTGATTGGTTTTATGAAGTTAAAATACGTAATTGTACTTTTTTAAATTTAAGAGCTTAATTACACTCTTGTATAAAGTTTTAGGGTGTATTTGACAATTTTCTCATAAAATATATAACTATACGCCATACATATACTCTATTATATTACACTCTAGCCCTCCCAAAACCCCTCTACGAAATTTTTAAAAAATTGGCGGTCAATTTCTAAATTTCGTCAATTGCATAGCCTCCTTCTATCTGTTTGCCTTTTTATTTTTAATTTAATTTTTTGTCCACTGTACCTAAAATTCCCCAAATACAACACGGCGCTCCTTAAACTCTCCGAAAATTTGACAAACCCAAAATCCATCGGGCAATCGGGCATGGCCTTTCACGTAGCTTGCCCAATTACCTGGTTAGTAATCCCCCCCACCCCCACCCCCCCCTTTCACCCCTACCCATGACCTCCTAATTTCATAATTTTCCCTCTCTTTATACATACACGCGTTTCGTTTATATATATTTTCACGCAGCTGAGTGTGTTTTTTGCCCGCAGTCGGAAGATTTGCTACTGCCCGCTGGGGTTTCCGAGGGGGTTGCAGAGCGAGAGCGGCAAAAATGAGTTCTTGCAGGAGGTGGCTAGGGTTGAGGACTTCATCAAGGACCCCTGGTTGCGTAAAGCTAAGCAGGGCGCCACAATTCAGGTAATAGTTCCCAAACTCGCGCTCCCGGCGGCTTTGGGCGACGGAGATGCGGAGGCGGTGGCCGCCGCCGCGCAGACCAAGCGCGCTACATTGCAGAAGAGAGCTGCGGCCGCGTCTTTGGTGGCCGAGGATTATGCTGGGCGATATGATTTAGCTGTGAGTTTTTTTTAATGTGAATTGTTTTGAGCAGAAGATTTGTTTATTGCTTTTATGACTGAATATAGGGTTGATTGAATGCGGAGTAGGTGAAATTTGAACCTTTTGTTGATTTGGTATTGAGTCTTTAATGATATCTCTTTAAGAATTAGTGGAATATAGGATGGAGTTATTGTTATTAGAGCAGTGTTCTTGAATTTGTGTTTGTTTCAAGTACTTATCTCTCGAGATTGACAAATTTCCTCTATTATTCTGTTCTGGTTTTGCCAATTTAGTTCTAATCAGCCAATGCTACTATAGATTCATTTCTAGGGACTATAAGTTAAGGTTGATGCTTTCTTTAAAAGTTTAAAGCCTTTTTTTGTGTATGCACATATCATATTTTGCTAAGCCTAGATCAGTAGTTTGCTAGGTGTGAATGAATTAATCCGTTTATTGGCCTTATTTTGAACTATTATACGCAGGAGTCTTTGAAAGAGACTGCTGGAGACGAACAAGGTCAATCGAATATCAAAGTAACATGTAGGCTATGCTGTCGTGGTGACAATGAAGGAAGTGAAAGAGCGAGGAAGATGTTGTCTTGCAAAACTTGTGACAAGAAGTATCATCGTAATTGCTTAAAAACTTGGGCGCAACATAGAGGTTAGTTCATTGGCCTCGAGGATATGATAGTCTGGCTTGTTCAACCTTCTGCACTTTGTGGTTCTGATTCGTTCTTCTTTTGCAGATCTTTTTCATTGGAGTTCATGGTCATGCCCCTCGTGCCGAATTTGTGAGGTGAATGTTCATATGTGCACAGGCGTGCACACACACACACAGAATGTTCTAAGACATTATCATTGCATTTTTGTTTTTACGGGGGCAGAAAAAGTGGAAAAATATATCTAAGAACGGGTGACTTAATATCATCCAAACACCTTATGTTGTTTGCTAATTGATGGTCTTAATGCCCAGTGTTTCTGTGTTTGTATGCTTATTTGGTCTTATTCATATTATATCTTTGTTTACTAGGGCTGCCGTAGAACTGGAGATCCGAATAAGTTCATGTTTTGCAAGAGATGTGATGCAGCATTTCACTGTTACTGTTTGCAGCCTCCTCACAAGGTTATACTGCTCTCCTTGCTTCTCTGTTTTTGTATAGTGCTCGAGGAATGCCAATTATTTATTCGGGTTTTCTCTATCCAGAATGCTAGCAGTGGGCCTTATTTGTGCACAAAACATACTGGGTGTTACAGTTGTGGTTCTTCTGTTCCAGGAAATGGTCTCAGCGTAAGGTATGTGAACAGTCATTAGAGATTTATTCTACCAATTTCTTAATTTAGCGCTGTAGATGGACTAAATCAAGAATCTTATTTCGTGTATAATTTTGTTTTTTTTTATCTTTATATAAATTTTCTCGGAATTTTAGTTTGCAAATTGATTAAAGCGTTAAAATGGTGTAGGTGGTTTCTGGGGTATACTTGCTGTGATGCGTGTGGAAGATTGTTTGTGAAAGGAAACTATTGTCCGGTTTGTTTAAAGGTATTCTTATGACAATTTTATTAGATAATTAAATATTGACGGTTAACGAGGTCATAAATTTATCTTTCTGATAGAGCTAAAAGTCTCGTTTTAAGATAGTGTAAAAGTTAATCGAGTTTAATGCATGCAGGTTTATAGAGATTCTGAATCAACGCCTATGGTTTGTTGTGACATTTGCCAGCGCTGGGTGCACTGCCAATGTGATGGGATCAGGTCGGCTTTCATCTTTTTTTTTTTTTTTTTTAATTGATCTGTTAAATTTGTGCGGTCTAACACTTGCCAGTATCACATACGGCTTTCTGGATTAAAATTTAATTCTCGGAAATTCTCATACCTTGATGGAATTCGTTTTGCAGTGATGAGAAATACATGCAGTTTCAAGTAGACGGGAATCTGCAGTATGCTTGTCCAACGTGCCGTGGTGAATGTTATCAGGTGTGCTTCTATTTCTAATGTTGCGGCTTTGAGGAGAAACTCTACGACCACTAACCTTCGGTGATTTTTTTTAATCCCGATATTTCCAGGTTAGGGATCTCGAGGATGCTGTTAAAGAGCTCTGGAGGAGGAGAGATGAAGCGGACAAGGATTTGATTTCGAGTTTGAGGGCAGCTGCCGGATTGCCTAGTCAAGAAGAAATCTTTTCGATTTCTCCTTTTTCTGATGATGAAGATAGCGGCGGCCCCCCAGTGACGAAGAACTCAATAAAATTTTCTCTCAAAGGGCTAGCTGAAAAATCCCCGAAGAAGGGCAAGGAATCCGGGAAGAAAAGTTCGAACAAGAAACCGAGTAAGAAAAAGGGGGAAGGGCATAGTAATGGTGGCGATATCAAGAATGAAGATATACAGACTTATATAAACGGAGACCGTGATGGTTTTCCTTCTCCCATTGCTGGAATGGAGGAGGGCTTGTGCTCTATCAATCGGGCCGGGGTTGTAAAGCACAAATTTATCGACGAGGTTAATGGGAATAGAACGTCTAGAACGGTCCAAATCAAAGGCCACAATCATCAAAGTTTTGGCGGTGAGGACGTTAGAACTCAGACAACCATGTCCAAGACCACCAAAGGACCAAAGCTCGTTATACATTTGGGTGGACGGAATAAAAATATTCCCGGTTCTCCTAAATCCGATGCGTCAAGTTGTCAAAAAGAGCAAGACGGGACTCCTGCAAATGGTATGCCTTACCTTTTTCTTCGATCTAATTGTTATTTTCGTGTAATCGTGTTCTTATATATACTTCATGTACTCGTTAGGCTGTGAGGATTCACTTGACCAAACGAGAGATCAAAAGGTTCGAGGAAAAGAGGGTCGGTTGATAAAGATCAAGAACGCTACTCCAGAAGTTGCTGCTGATGCAACTGCCAAAAGCGGGATAAAAATTGCTGTTGGAAGAAGAAGCAACGAGGCGGCTGTAAGGACTGCAACCGAAGTTCCTGCCGCCACTAGAGGCGGCAGCAAACTGGCTTCAACGAGACACTCTGGAGATGGGCCGAGTTCTGGCGATGATTTTCATGAGGATAGAGATAACACACATCCTGCCACTCATTCCAAGGGCTCGAGAACACTGCTAAAACTTAAGTTCAAGAATCCTTATTCTGATGGCCCGAGTGCCTGGGCTCCTTCCACAGACGACGAGAAATGCTTGATCAAGGGTCAAAGATCGAAAAGAAAGAGACCACCGCCCTTTGGGGAGAAAACATCGGCCAATGCTGAGACGCATAAAGACAATTCCTTTGACGAGCTAATGGATGCTAACTGGATACTGCAGAAGTTGGGGAAAGACGCTGTTGGAAAGAGAGTCGAAGTCCATGAACCGTCTGATAACACCTGGTAAACTCTAGCTTCCTTAAAGGCTAAAAAAACCCTTCCCTTCTTTTCCTTAACTAAGTCTAATTGAAGCATGTGCTCCATCTCAACTAAAAGCCTAAGCTGATAGTTGGATTGCACATTCCCCTTATGTGTGCGGGCCGATACTTTTGATGGGCTCCAAGTAATACGTGGACCGTTCTCTTTTAAGCATGTGCTCCATCTCAACTAAAAGCCTAAGTTGATAGTTGGATTGCACATTTATGTTTATGTTATATTATATGCTCAACAAGTCTCGATTGCACATTCGTCTCACTCGGTTTCTCTGTCTCCAGGCACAGAGGAAAAGTAACCGATTTCTTTGAAGGCACATCAGTCGTTGCTGTCGCTCTGGATGATGGCAAGACTGAGAACTTAGAGCTGGGGAAGCAAGCGATTCGCTTCGTCCCACAGAAGCAAAAACGGAAGTAGCATCGTACCATGATGTCGGGTTTTCAAGATTTGGGAATGACAGAACAAAACATTGATTTCATGATTTGAATCCTATTCAAAGGAATCTGAGGATTATTTCTTCCCTATTAAGGGCATCCTTTGTATTGCATTTTCTTTCTTTTCCATTCCTTGTTCTCTTGTTTAGAGAACACGTTTGGCTTAAATCACAGTTGCAGACTCAACTTCTGTAGTATTGATCATTGGGTTTTAGCAGTTGCAAGGTTTTATCAAAGCCAACTGCAATTGTATTACCTGTAAACCTTTACATCCTCTTGTAAAGTTCATCTTTTTATCATCTTTAAACAATTAAACTCCATGTTTATTCCCAGTTTCAATTCTCAGCTTTGCAACTAATGAGTAAATGTAACGGATGAGCACAATTCCAATCAAGTTGATCCGACAGTTGGTTGGTTTTAAGTTCGATTCCTTGTGTGAACGATTTACTGATTTTTTTTTTTTTTTTTGAGTTGATAAGTTATGAGCAATCTAGATTGATTTATCTCTTTGTAATCCTTTACTAAAGAGCTGTCTATTGATTTTTTTTTTTATTATTTTTTTTTGGGTTTAACTTGTCAGCTATGAGCAATCTATGCTAGTTAATTGGTCCTTTGTTGGTGATAGGGATATACGCCCGACCGCGTAGAGATCGAGTCGTAGCCCGACCCTCAGACATGGGCCCTCCCGTCGTACCCGACCGATGCCGACCGGTGGTTTCTAGGGAACCCCGGACGACGAGGTCGCCCCGCAGCACCTCCGGGACAATCGGCCCGCCGGAGGGTCACGACCGACAACCCATAGGCGGTTCCCAGGTGGAGAGGGAGATGTCAGACCTTTACCACCGGGAAGTGACCGGTTTACTGGGCGATCCCGACCGGACGCCCTTGGGTGACTTTTGGCCAGAGGGGAGGAGAAGTCAGACCTTTAGCGCCGCGTGGCAGACATCGACACGGCCACAGGTAACACCCGGTGCATGCCCACCACGTGTCTAACATGCCGGAAGCCCGGCGTGACCCACCTTTCTGACCCTATAAATAGCGCATTAAATGCACCTTGGAGGAGGACCTTTTGGGCACGAGGCAAGACCGGACCTTCCCGACCCGCATGAGAGATTCGAGCCTTGCTTACGACCGCATAAACATACTACACGGGAATTACCCTTATCATTTTGGCGCCGTCTGTGGGGATTGAACTGAAAGTCACTCGGCAAGTGTCAGACCGATCTTCAAAATGTTTCCATTCATGGACTTCAACACCGACGCGGAGGCTGAAGAGAGCTCGTCGGACCTCCGATCGCAGTTGAATCCGCGGATGGACCTCAACACACCTCCGGGCAGAGAGATGACCCCAGACCCGGTTAATTTCATTCAGCCCGGAGTGGCATTTCCTGGCATCCCCGGACAAATGCAGTTCCAGTACCCGATGTACGCGCCCGGGATGTTCGATCAGGCGTACCCGTATTGGCAAAGCCCACCGCGCTTCTTTGGAGCCCAATACCAGTACCAACCAGGTCCGGGCACCTACCAGCCTTATATGCAGATGCCGATACCGAATATGCAGATGCCGATGCCGAACGCACCTGAGCCCGGCCAATCGATGGCATCAGCACCAGAGCTACGAAGGGCCCAATCTGAGCGTCGACCAGCCCGGTCGCGGCTCGGGCCTGGGGCAGCTCACGAGCGAGGGGCTGAGGAAGTCCCCGCCCGAATGAGCGCTTTCGTCCGCCTCCAGCCGTCGGTACACCAACGGGTCGGAGCCCGACAAGATGTGGAGGAATCCGTGAACCTCGACGGATCCCGACAGGAAGCGTCGGGCGAAGTCAGCAGCTGCCGGTCGAGGAGAAACGCCCGACGAGCTGCCGACCGGGAAGATCCTCAACATGAAGCTAGGGGCCTGCTACGACAGGTCCGGGAAGAATTCAGTAGATGGAGACGCGAGCACGGTCATAGGCCATCCGAACCTGAAGCACCCTTACTCCGCAACCCCTTCACCGAAGACATAATGAGCCTTCCTTACCCCCATGACTTGCGAGTGCCAGGGAACAAGGGATACGACGGAAAGACCGACCCGGAAGCGCACATTAACTCCTACTACGGAAATATGCTCATGATGGGAGTAACCGACGCAGTGATGTGTCGAGCGTTCTACTCAACCTTGACGGGAAGAGCGGCGGACTGGTTCAAGACATTGGAGCCCGGTTCTATCGCCTGTTTCGCGGAGTTGGCGAAAAGGTTTGTCCACAAATTCGCCACCTCCAAAGAAGTCCGGAAGCATTTCACCTATCTTGAAAAGGCCAAACAACTCGAAGGCGAATCCCTGACGGATTTTCTCGTAAAGTGGAAAGCGGCAATCGGTGAGGTCGAGCCCCTCGATGACCGGACAGCAATCAACGTCCTGCATTCCAACCTGCGAGCTGGGGCCTTATACCAGGAATTCATCCTACACCCTCCGACGACTTACGATGAGGCGATCAGAAGGGTAACTGACTACGCCAATGCCGGTGAGGCTAACTTCGCCAAGCGCCAGCAAGAAGCCGGTAGCAGCCGGAAACCACAAGGCCGGCAAGACGAGGGGAGGACGAACGACAGATCTGGGCGGGGGCGTGGGAGAGCACCCGACTTCACCCCCCTAAACAGACCGGCGGTCGACGTCCTCCGATTCGCCCAGTCTTGCAACATGATCCAACTGCCGGAGCCGCAGCGCGAGGATCGCGACAAGACGAAATATTGTGCATACCACCGCAGCAAGGGGCACGAAACGGAAGATTGCACGACCCTCAGACAAGTCATAGAAGAACTGCTACGATCGGGAAAGCTTGCGGAGTTCACTAATAAGAAGGACGAGAAAAAATCGTCTTGGAAAAACCCGTTCAAGAAGTCAAACAAGAACAAAAAAGACAAGGATCACGATCGGGACACCGAGCCCCGGCAATCGACGGGAAAGCAGGTCATCCATGTCATATTCGGTGGCCCGGAGGGAAGCTCCAATGCTCGGGAAAAACTCCAGATCGGGCTGATAGGGTCAGAGCCCGGTGCGAAGAGACAGAAGCTAGAACCAATCACTTTTACCCCGAGCGACATGCTCGAAGGGGAAGATCGCAATACTGAAGCGTTGGTCGTCACGATCGACATCATGGGGTCCGACGTCCAACATGTCTTGGTAGATACCGGTAGTAGCGTGAACGTCTTGTACATGGACGTCTTTCAGAAATTGAAGCTAGAACCGATCGAGTTGACCCCTATCGGGACGCCCCTATCGGGATTCACTGGCGACACCATCCATCCGGAAGGAAAGATAACCTTGCCGGTGGAGATAGGCAGTCGGCCCCGGACGATCAAGACTATGATGGAGTTCATCATCGTCAACCTTCGATGTGTCCACAACGCTATCCTAGGTAGACCGGCGATCGTGTCGATCGGAGGAATCATTTCCATGCCTCATTTGTGCATGAAATTCCCAACCCCTGAAGGGGTGGGAGTCGTCCGATGAGATGTTCGATCAGCACGAAAGTGTTACCAAAAGGCGATCGACAGAAAAGGAGCCTGGAATTCCCAGGTGAATTCAATCTCGAAGAAAGCTGAGGCGGAGAGAAAAGAACAGCCGGAGCCGTCGGACGAGGTCGAAGAAATTCCCTTAGAGGCTAACTGACCAGAGAGGACGATCCGCCTTGGACGCCAGATTCCCTCGGCAATCAAAGAAGCTGTGCTGCTCGTACTGAAAGAGTTCTCGGACATCTTCGCATGGGGGCCGGAGGACATGCCAGGGATAGATCGAGCGGTAATATGCCACCGGTTGGCGGTCAGTCCAACAGCACGACCGGTGAAACAAAAGACTAGGCACCTTTCCAATGACCGTAAGGAATTTATCAGGAGCGAAGTTAAAACTCTCACAGAGATCGGGCATGTTCGCCCGGTCGTATATCCCGATTGGGTCGCCAATGTTGTCTTAGTGCCCAAACCACCGACCTGGCGGATGTGCATCGACTACACTGACCTGAATAAGGCGTGCCCGTTGGACCCGTACCCTCTCCCGAGTATACATCAAATGGTTGATGACACAGCCAGCGCGGACCTCATGAGCTTCATGGACGCGTTCAGAGGATATCACCAGATTTTGATGGCTGAGGAAGACGAGGACAAGACGTCCTTCGTAACCCCAGATGGACTCTTCTGTTATAAAGTCATGCCCTTCGGATTGCGGAACGCCGGGGCCACTTACCAGAGGATGATCAACACCCTCTTCGAGGGACAGCTCGGACATACGATGGAAGCATACGTAGACGACATGCTCGTGAAAAGCAAGGAACGGAAAGACCACGCCCGGGACCTCCGAGCGTGTTTTGAGGTGATGCGCACTTACCGGTTGAGACTAAATCCGGCAAAATGCACGTTCGCCGTCCAGACTGGAAAGTTCTTAGGGTTCATGATGACAAAGAAGGGGATTGAGCCTAACCCGGCCAAGGTAAAAGCCATCCTAGACATGCAGCCGCCCACTACCGTCCGGGAAGTTCAGCAACTAACCGGAAGATTAGCCGCCCTTAGCCGGTTCCTGTCCAAGCTTGCAGAGAGAGCCTTGCCCTTCTTCAAAACGCTAAGAAAGGTCAATGGATTTGCATGGGATGAGGAGTGCCAAGCGGCGTTCAAAGAGCTAAAGGAATATCTAATGTCTCCGATCGTCCTTTCAAAGCCGGAATTGGGCGAAGACCTTGACATTTACCTGGCAGCCTCCGACCGAGCTGTTAGCGCCGCGTTATGCCGCACGGACTCCGACGGGGTTCAGCGACCGGTATATTACGTCAGCCACGCCCTACAAGGCTCGGAGCTCAGGTATTCCCGCCTCGAGAAGATGGTGCTCACCCTCTACACCGCCGTCAAGAAGCTCACCCCCTATTTTCAAGGCAGGGTCATCCGGGTATTGACTGATCAACCAATCGGGGCCGTCCTCCGCACGGCTTCCTCTTCCGGCCGCCTCGTAAAATGGGCCATGATGTTAACACAGTTCGCTATAGAGTACAAGCCTCGCCCGGCTATCAAAGGACAAGCGTTAGCAGACTTTGTTGTTGAATGCACGGCCAGGGAAGCCCGAACCGCCGACCAGCAAGCTCAGGATGTGTTATGGTGGGAAGTCGCTACCGACGGGTCCAGCAGTCGGAAAGGCTCCGGAGGGGGCGTTGTCATCACAAGCCCCGAAGGGTTTAAAGTCTACTATGCACTGATCTACCAGTTCTCCCCCACAAATAACGAAGCGGAGTACGAGGCCTTTGTCGCGGGATTGCAATTCGCAAAGGACCTCGGAGCGGAAAGTGTGAAAGCCCGGACGGACTCATCACTAGTGGTCGGACAAGTCTTAGGAGACTTTGAGGTCAATGGCGAACGACTAGGACGGTATCGGGATTTGGCGGTTGAACGTCTGACCACTTTCCGAACGTACGCGGTCCAACATGTTCCACGGATGGACAATGCCGACGCTGATATTCTCTCGAGACTAAGCGTGGAAGCACCCGAGCATATCTCCCGGGTTGCCCGAGTCTTGGTCATACCGTACCCCTCCATTGATCACCAACAGGTCTCACCGGTCCAACCACCTGAAGAGAATTGGATAACGGACATCATGGGGTATCTAGAAGACGGTCGGCTCCCGGATGATGAGGCAAGAGCCCGAAAAGCAAGACTCCGGGCGCCGAGATTCCAAGTACAGGAAGGCCGGCTTTACAGACGGTCGTACGGGGGCCCGCTTATGAGATGTTTAACCGCCTTCGAAGCCAAGCTGGTGATGGACGAGCTACATGCAGGAATATGCTCATCACACCAGGGCGGGCGGTCATTGGCCAGACGAATAATGGTGATCGGATACTATTGGCCATCGATACAACTCGACTGTGAGAAGCTCACGAAAGAATGTGAAACCTGCCAAATGTTCGCAAGGATGCCCGGACGACCGGCTACCTTCTACCACCCGGTCAGTACAGCCATCCCCTTCGCGCGATGGGGAGTCGACATCGTGGGACCGTTTCCCCAGCTGTCGGGACGAAGGAAGTTTATCATAGTGGCAATTGATTATTTCTCCAAATGGGTGGAAGCGGAACCCCTTGCCACGATCACGTCGCAACAGTGCGCCCGGTTCATATGGCGGAATGTGGTCTCAAGGTTCGGTGTACCGGTGCAGATTGTTATGGATAACGGGAGACAGTTCGAGGGCCAGTACTTCAAAAACTTCCTAGCGACGATCAGCACAAAATCCATTCGGTCGTCCGTAGCATACCCCCAAGGGAATGGCCAAGTGGAAAACGCTAACCGGACGATCTTGGAAGGCCTAAAGAAGAAACTCCACTCAGCCGGCCGATCGTGGGCAGACGAACTTCCGTTTGTCCTATGGACATACCGCACCACCCCAAGAGAGGCAACCGGCGAAACACCCTTCGCTCTAGTTTATGGAGCCGAAGCGCGTTTGCCTGTTGAAGCCTGGATCGCAAGCCCAAGGGAGAGCGAATACGCTGAAGAAGAAAACGATGCAGCTCGATCTTTAGATCTGGATTGTATCGAAGAGAGGAGAGACTTAGCTGCTCAAAGAATCGCCGACTACCAAAAGCGGGTCAAAGCCACCCGGGACGTCCGGGTGCGACCACGCTACTTTCAAGTCGGAGACTACGTGCTGAGGAGACGTGAAGCAAGCCAACCTCAGGAAGGAGGGAAGTTAGCCCAGAACTGGGAAGGTCCATACGTGGTATCGGCCATAATACGCCCGGGCACCTACAAGCTTGAAACGACCACCGGGAGACCGATCGACCGAACATGGAATTCAGAAAACCTGGTAATGTTCCGTCAATAGAATGTCATAGACGGTGTTGTACTTTCCTGTTTTCCCTTGTACCTTCCCGTTTCCCTTGTTTTTCCCGTTTCCTGATCTTGGTTGTGTCTGTTGTAAACCCCGTTCGCCCCTTATTTCCCGCCTGTAATTGTTGCATTGTATCTCTATCCCCGAGACCACACGAGCTGGCTCGATTGTTGTAATGTTTCATCTAGTTGTTCGCGATGAAAGCCGACCGTTCGTCAACAAGCAAGAATCTCTCCATCCTACAACAGCCGGAACCGGCTTAAACTTATGGCCTTTGTTGCCCGAACGACCACAATGTCGCTTAAACTTATGGCCTTTGTTGCCCGAACGACCACAATGTCGCTTAAACTTATGGCCTTTGTTGCCCGAACGACCACAATGTCGCTTAAACTTATGGCCTTTGTTGCCCGAACGACCACGATGTCGCTTAAACTTAGTAGTCCGACCGGCAATCGACCGACCGTCATAGCCGCTCGGACTCGGGGGGCTATACACGCGTTTTTCGCGTTTGGCCTACCTAACCCTTTTCAGTCCGACCGGCAATCGACCGACCGTCATAGCCGCTCGGACTCGGGGGGCTATACACGCGTTTCTCGTGTTTGGCCTACCTAACCCTTAGCAGTCCGACCGGCTATCGACCGACCGTCATAGCCGCTCGGACTCGGGGGGCTATACACGCGTTTTTCGCGTTTGGCCTACCTAACCCTTTTCAGTCCGACCGGCTATCGACCGACCGTCATAGCCGCTCGGACTCGGGGGGCTATACACGCGTTTTTCGCGTTTGGCCTACCTAACCCTTTTCAGTCCGACCGGCAATCGACCGACCGTCATAGCCGCTCGGACTCGGGGGGCTATACACGCGTTTTTCGCGTTTGGCCTACCTAACCCTTTTCAGTCCGACCGTCATAGCCGCTCGGACTCGGGGGGCTATACTAATAAGCGAAGCATAACACAAACGTAACGTAATAAGCGAGGATAAAATGGACCGAACGAGAAAGCTTAGAAGTTGAAACGGTTGTCATTAAACCGGTCGGGCAAGTGTTTAAGTACCCGGCACAACAGGGCCGGGCTCCCGAACAATAACAAAAAATAATAAAGCGGAAAATCTTCAGTTCGTGGGATTTTTCTTGGCAGCATTAGAGGGCTCGGCTTCAGGCTCCGTGTAGGGCATAGGACCGGGATCAGCGACGCTCTCCGGGAGGTTGGTCAGGATGGTGTCGAGATCATCCCCCTCGAACACCTCGGTCAAAACGGACCTCACCTCCCGGTGTGTGTCCCGTTGGCCGGAAGCATAAGCCCAGTTGCCAAAGACCCACATCATGTCTTCGGCCACTTTGTGCTTGATGAACTCCCGGAAGAATTGCTCGGCAACAACCGGATCCTGGCAGAGGTTGGCCGCCAAACCGGCCGGATCTTTCAACCGCGAGCGGAGACCCTCAGCTTCTTTCCGGACCTCGGCCGTTTCCCCGATCGCCCTTTTTGCTATGGTCTCGGCAATCTCTTTGGCGTCTTCCGCCGCCTTCACCTTCTTCCTGAGCTCCTTGGCCTCCTTCTTGAGCGCTTCGCTCTCCGACCCGCTCTTGGAGCGGTAGTAAAGCGAGGTGAGCACCCGGGTAAGCTGAAAGGGAGAGTATTTAGGAGGCGAGCAAACTTAA